AATATAATAACAAAAGTTAGAGTTTTTCTAGACCTAGCTATAATCGTACCGAGAATATATCTTTCATAAAAGACTTGAGGTAAAAAAGCCACTTAAATATCGGTTATCTTCTTAACCTACCTCCATCAAACCAATTTTTTCATTTTTTTTGATATTGGTAGGTCATAAAATTTCCTCACTCCCGCGTACCTTGAAAATAAAACAAAACCATCTTAGAAGTCAATAATTCGACTAATTGGTGAGCTAGATTTGAGTGGGTCAAAGGTTAAAAGGTTGAAATCGATACCAATTTTGGGCATAAAAGGGTCCTAATACGTTCTCTGCACGTAATCGACTCTCAAATCCTAGTTTTAATAATGTAGATCAGAACCTATTCTTTTTAAAGACTCTTAGCTTAAGCTTAGAATAACTTTAAAGAGAACAAATTCATATAGGTGACCAATCACACCTAAGTTAAAAAATTTGGTGGTAACTCTATGATTTTTGTATCTGATGGGTAGGTTTCCCAACCTAGACATTATGACATGTATTATATTAAAAAAAATAGAACATATTATCATGCAAATTTATTAATTATCATGCAACAATATAAAATACTATGCAAATATATTAATAACCATCCATGCAAATATATAATCATGAAATCAAATATAATCACACAAATTTATTAGTAATTATGCAATTAAATATAGTCATGCAATTATGCACATAATAAATGTAGAAACATGCAATTAAATATCATTCAAATATAGTATTAATCATGCAATAGCATATAATATCATATCATGTAATAAATATAAAATCATGCAAAAATAATAATAAATAAATAACTATGCAAATAAATATATTAATAATCATACAATCACATAAATAAATAAATTAATAATCATGCAATTAACAATGTAAATCATGCAAATAAACATGCAATTAAATATATAATCATACAAATAAAAATATTAATAATCATCAACCACACAAATAAATAAATTAATAATCATACAATTAGACATGCAATCAAATATATTATCATGCAAATAATAATAATACATAAATCATTCAATCATGTAAATAATAATATATAAACCATGCAAAATATGCAATTACAAATATAAAAGTTACGTAAAAATCACAAAAAAAGTAAATATTACCTCAATGGATCACATGTTCCAACAATTTTTTTCCTTTCAAAAATTGATACTTCCTACTATAAATTTTAGCTTTCTTTCCAAAAACTTCAACAGGATCTTCTTGCAAAATTTTTTTCTGGATTACTTCTTCCTTATTGGTTCAAACCTTTGCCTAAATTTTCTTCCTTTTCAATGATCTTTGTTTGATGTTGAAGTGAATTGTTGTGAGGCCCCCCATGTGATCACATATTCAATATCTTTATATAGGGATTGAATCCATTTAGATTTGAAAAAAATTAATTCAACCGATTCTAAAATTTCACTCCAAATTTTATTTTTTATATAATCTTTTCTTTTTCAATAGATTGAGCCCCAAATCTTTTCAAAATTATTCAACTATTAAAATTAAAATTTGAGATAGAATCCAAAAGTTGAATTAAATCCAAAATTTTTCATGCAAAATCCCATATTTTTCATTTTTCTTTTACCTTTTTTTGTGCTTTTTTTATCAATTGACTTTAACTCTTTTGACTAAAAAAATAAAAATTAAACTAAAAATTAAAGTACAAATAAAATTTAGGTATTAATCTTTTGGCTCAAATTTAACTTTTTCAATTAAAGTCCAATTGTACAATCAAAATTAAAATTCGAAACCCAATAAATTTTGAAAAATTCTTAGATAAAATAGAGTGTTTACAATATATAGCTAAATGAATGTGTGACAAAAAAAATCGGTTTCTAAAATCTTCTAATTTTCACACCAATGTCTACGATAATAGCAGCTATTCATTTGCATTCCTAACCATATATCAAAACAAAAATTTCAATTAATTAATGAATTGTTAATATAAAATCATCAAGCTTAATTTCCACATGACTGGCTGGCTTGATATTATTTGATACCTTTAAGATTCATATTATTCTATCTTCATTTCAAGGAACAAGCAAAGGGTATGCCAAAACAAAGCCATTAATACCGTACAACGTTTTATTTATTATTATTTTTTAAATACGGTATATGTTGATATCAATGCTTTTGATATATTATTTTAGATTTTTTGATTTAGTATAAATATATTTACAAAATATACATATATTTGTTTATTATAATACTATTAATAATCTACAAAATAAATATATAATATTTTCAAAAAATAAATAAATAAATTTAAAAGTATAATATAAAATATCATAAAATTTTCATAATAATTTTAAACACTTAATTTGATCATATGATATTTAAATAAGTATTTTTATACAAATATTCAGATAAAAACAAAGAAATAAAAAAAAAATTAACATTGGCTTCATGATTGTTAATCTTTAAAAAAGGAGAACAATTTTTTTCTTGAAAGAAATTGAAATATTCGTGGACTTTGATTTGAAAGAATAAAGTATAAAAGAAAACAAGTTACAATAAAAAAAAAAGTAGAGAAATTCAACTTTTAAGGGTTATTTGATTAATTAATTTTATTTTTATTAGATTAAAAATAGTTAAACAACAAAAGATAAATTAAAAATTACAAAATCTATTTTACATTCACGTACTGATCAAAACAAATTAATCCACCAAAATTTATCAAAACTAATGAAAACAACTGATATTATTCGATATCAATATGAAAAATTATCTTTAGGTATCCGTATTTTGATATAACTGAAGTGTACCAACCAAAACATTTGATACCAGAATAAAATTAACAACTATGTGTCAAACTCTCTATTCTATTAAATCAATTTCCAACAATTAAATAGAGGCATAGGGGAATGTAATTCTCCAAAAACTGAGGAGCCACTTCTTTAGGCTTTGGTTTGATATGGTCTCTCTTCCCATATAAATTGAATCAAAATGAATCTGAAATTTAATTCATATGATTCATCCAACTCAATTAGTAGATGGACTTCTACAAAACTAAAATTCGATCGCCAACCTAGTAAATATAAGACACCCTAAGCATGGACATGTTTCATTTGCTATCAAAGATAGAAGCTTAAGGAGGCTTCTTGCTAGGTAAACAATCTATCAATGTGGAGATAATTTCAGTTTTTTCTTGTAGCTAGAAATATGAATTCACCTTTGATACCTATGTATCCCATAATACCAAGTCATAGGATCAAATTGTTAGTCAAATGTATATTCTAATATTTAAAAAAGAATTAATTATATTTTTAGTATTTGAACTTTAATAAAATATTTAAATTATATCTAAAAAATTATAAAATATACAATTTACACGCTAAACTTTTAACTAATATATCATTTTAATTTAAATTTTGGTATTATTAATTTAACTCATTTATTTGGTATTTGACCAATATAATTATGTTATATATATGTCATTTATTAAATAAAAATATTAAATATTTTATAAAAATTTTATGTGGATGTCACATAACCAATAATAATTGATTGATTTTGGACAAATATTTTTATGATTCAATAAAAAAATTTATATATTTTAAATTTATATTAAAAAATATTTATAGTATAAGTGATGAATACACAATTTGATAATATTTGTTAAATGTTAAATATATGAACTAATTTGATTAACATGATTAAAATTTGAGTTAATATGATATATAATTTAAAAGTTTGAAGTACAAATTATACAATTTATTTATTTAAAAATCGATTTATATATTTTCTCAAAATTCAAGTACCTAAAATATAATTAAACTTTAAAAAAGGATTGAACCTAAATAATATGTCAAATAATGGGTCCATGAACTAGAAAAATCAATCAAAAGTGCATTAACTAACATGTAGTGAGCTAATGGCCTATTGAGTTTTCTTCTCTTATTCTTGCATGTGTTAAATTTCCATGCATTGGCCAAAAAAAAAAACCCAAAATTCTATGCTCCATTTGGGTATAAATAGGCATGGAGGAAAGCACCAAAACACACCCCAAAACACCGAACAATAGTTCATCTTACTACTTCTAGCAGAGCTTGCAATGACAAACCTTTTGTAGTTAAGTCTAGACCTCTAAAACTGGAAACCCTTCAGAATCTTGAGCAAGCACAAAAAGGAGACACTGTCAGTGGGCTTAATCAAGTCAAACAATACCTCAAGGCCTTTGGCTACTATCCCACTATTCCCATGGCATCAATTTTATAATTGATGATCATTTTGATGACTCTCAGGAGTCTATCCTTAAAGCATTTCAGGAAAATTATTATCTCATGTAATAGGCAAGATTGACTATAATACAATCAAAGCAATGATACCCCCTGGTGTGGTGTCCCCGATATCATTCGTAACCGAACTTCTAATGGCACTAACTGAACACGTGGTCATAACCATGGCATGTTTCACTTGGTTGCTAACTTTTCCTTTTTCCCTGGGAGTCTCAGAAGGACTAGGTATCAGCTCACCTATGATTTCCTATCCAATTCTCTGCAGGTGGTTAATTTTCGAGTACTGAGATCTGTCATTGCCCTGGGATTCCAAAGATGGGCAGCTGTTTCTCCATTCAGGTTCCAGGAGGTAGCACAAGGAACCAGAGCTGATATCAGGATCGGGTTTTACCGAAATTATCATGGGGACGGTTCTCCTTTTGATGACCCTGGAAACATATTGGCTTATGCTTTTCCACCACCAGATGGTAGGTTCCATAATGATGCAGACGAAAATTGAAGCTTTAATCCTACTGCACCTAGCCAAGTAGACCTTGAATCAGTAGCTTTGCATGAAATAGGACATGATCTTGGCCTTCATCAGAGTTTGGATCAAAATGCCGTCATGTATTCAACAATTCCAGTTGGAACTATCAAAGGGAACCTGCTACTAGTTAGAATTTTGCTGCATTGAGACCTCTGCAGCTTTGCTGATATCATAAGCTTAGCATATTAAATAAGTGATTAGCACAGTGGAAAAACTAGAATAAGTTGTTATATGTAAGCAAATATGAATGTCATGAATATTTACATATCAACAGAAATTACTGCAAAAAAACTGTGTCAAACTGATCAAAATCGAAAGAGTTTATTTACAGTTGCCATTTTCCAATTCAGTCCTACTTTTGAAGCACTGGCACAAAATTGCGTAGAATAGTAAGCTCAATGCACTTGCTATGGCTAAAAGCCAGTAGTATTTGTTTAGTCCATCTTCCTTCATGTCATCAGAGAACCAGCTTTGTCTTCCTTCTGAATTTGTGAAGGCTTCAATGATTGAAATCATCAAGGCACTCAGGAAACTTCCCACCCCAAAAACACTAGTATATAGCGCAAAGCCCATCGTTCGCATCCTGACGGGTACTTCATTGTAAAAGAACTCCTGCATCCCGACAACAGTGAAAATGTCTGCAATGCCTAAAAGAATATATTGAGGAAGCAACCAAAAGATGCTTAGTGGCACTGTTTCTGATTCCAGGATACCTATTTTCCTGCTGAGCTCAAGTCTCTTCGTTTCAACAACTGCAGCTATGATCATAGCAATGATGGACAGGAACATACCAACTCCCATTCTCTGCATTACAGTAATACGTTCTTGATTACGAGTAACCATCTGAGTGATTGGGATCAAAACTTTATCATATAAAGGCATCAAGAGGATTATAGACAGTGTAATAGAACTTTGTAGCGTCGCTGGTGGGATCTTGAAGTTCCTGCCAATGTTTCTCTTCATCGTCATGCCTTGTTTGGTGAAAAATGTAGCAGGCTGTTGGAAAATTACTGCAAATATTAGTAGCATTGTCCATATTGGCAAAAGCCTGAGTACTATTTTTGCATTTTCAAGCAGGTAAGTATCATTTTTTGGATTCCCATCCAAGCCCTCATTGCTCCCCAACTTTTTATCACAAAGAGGTTTCTCTTCAAGCCTATAAACAAGTAAGAATAACTGTCAGAACTCATGCACATTACATGTGAAGCATCCTCAAAATCCAATAAGAAAACTTACTCTAGCTCAATTACATCAGATCTGTGATTTGGTAAGGTGACTCTGCCATTGATTAATTTTAATGCTGTCACTTTGATGACTCGAAGTATGTTGCGAAGGGGCTTACTATCGATGGTTCTATCTGGTTTATACGCATAAATCCTGCTACCACATGTGAAAAATGCAACTGATATAACCATAGCAAACATGGGGATAGCAAATCCTAGTACCCAACCAAAGGTATCTTGGATGTAGGACATAAGTATGACACCTAAGAGGCTGCCACTACAAACCCCAAAATACCACCACTGGAAAAATGAAGTCTTTTTTTTAGAGTTTTTGTCATCTTTGCTGCAAGGCAATTCCTCATCATGGTCAAGTTGGTCAGCCCCAAAGGCTTGTAAAGATGGGTTATATGCACCTTGGCCTAATGAAATCAAACACAGGGACCAAAACAGGAATGCAGAGGAGCTTGTCTTGCTTGGAGGAGACCATGTCCATAGTAATGCTGTTGATGCCACTCCTCCAAGGCCCTTAAATTATTAAAAAAAAAAAAATCAAAACACACAAACTTACAGCAAGAAAAAGCACATTTTTTCATGCTACTTGTACCATTACTCTTTCAACTAACACTACTAAGTTACCAGATCATATAGTAGAACACTGTCCATTTCTGGTTAGTCAAACAGGTTCAAACACTTTTGAAAAGGTTTTAATCAAAGATGTTAATATCGTACCGGATAACATTTCGATTTTTTTTTTAAATATGGTATATACCGATATTAGTTTTTTTGATATATTATTTTAGAATTTTTAATTTAATACAAATATATTTATAATTATACATGAACTTGTACATTATAATATTATTAATAATCTACAAAATAAATACGTAATATCTTCAAAAATCAAATAAATAAGTTTAGAAGTATAAAAAATAATATCATAAATATTTTATAATATTTTTAAATACTTAATCTAATTATATGATATTTAAATAAGTATTTTTTATATAAATATTAAGATAAAAATAAAAAGACGAAAATTTAACCTTGAATTGTTAAATTTTAGAAAGAAACACAATTGCTTTCTTGAAAGAAATTAAAATATTTATGAATTTTGATTTTAAAAAAATAAAGTATAAAAAAATGAATTCCAATAAAAAATAGAAAAACTCAATTTTTAAGGGTTATTTTGTTAATTAATTTTATTTTTATTAAATTAAAAATAATCAAACAACAAAAAATAAATTAAAAATTATAAAATATATTTCATATTCACGTATTGATAAAAATAAATTAATTCATCAAAATTTATCGAAATTAGTCAAAATTAACAAAAATAATTGATATTATTTAATATTAAATTCGATACGAAAAATTATCTTTAAATATAATATATTTTGGTATAACTTAAATATACCAACCGATGCTACTATGTTTAAAAGATGAAAAGTAAGAGGGAATTTTTTTTACTAAAAACTTACTCTAAAAAAAATTTACTTGACAAGAGGATAGGTTTGGCCATGAATCTTGAAAGAGCCATAAGATAAAAGGAAAAAGTAGGAGCTAATTGCTATCCGTGACAGCAGAGTCCCATCAAACTAAAAGCCATCTTTAATTCTAAAAGAATGTATGACTTGACTGCACAAATTCAGTCCAGACAATCCTTACACAATTAAACAGGAATTGACACACTGGATATGCCACCCAACATAGAAAACTTGGCTTTGATTTTTGAATTTCCAGACTCACCAAATTGTTAGATTAAATGGCAGTTTAAGCACTTTAAATTTACACAAAAATAGGATTTTTTTGGCAATTAAAAAACTATAAGAAAAATTAGAAGTGGTGATGACTCAGTGTCCAACATCTCTAATGCCTAGTGGTGTAACCCCTTTGCCTCTCATTGACAGTAAACAAATATGTTTCCAAAAATGAAACAATTCTAAGGATCTTAAAATGCAATTTCCATGACATGCAAAACCTCAAATGAGAACAAAGAAGAGTGACTCACCAAAACATAGAGGAAAGAGGATGTCAAAATGGTTGAATACCTATCCCAAAATAAGTCAGCCAGGGGTGCAACCAGCAGTGGCAAGATTGAAGTCAATCCACACCAACTGTTAACAGTCTTGGCTGCTGAAGAATTGCTCATCTTCACAACATCTGTGAGATATGTAATCAAATTGGATGCCACCCCCTTGAAAGCAAACCTCTCCATGCCAGCAAGCACTATCAAATAAATAAACACAGAAATGCATGCAAATGTTCATTTACTTATATTCTGGTCATTCAGAAAGAAAAAAAAAATGAAATTGTTATTGAGGGATCATTGATGTAGAATGGCAGTTTCAAAACTTGCTGATACAAGTATTAATTGGATTGGGACCCCTGAAAGCCCGGAAAGAAACAGGTTTTTCAGGCAGAAAGGCACGCTGGCTAGCTCATGTTAACAGAGAGAAAAAAGATGATAGAGTACTAGTTACCTATAAGAAGAATACATGACCTGCTAAGTCCTTGAGATCTTCCTCCTCCAGCCATGTTAAAGAGAAAACAATGTGCTGAGTGAATTGAGAATGGTTCTGAGATAATAAGAGCAAAAGAAATGACCAAAACAAACTCAATAGGCTGGTGCCTCTAGTCAGAGGTCAGGGGCTGCTAACTTGAGTGAGAAATTGCTGGTTTCACCCCTTTAAGTAGTGATAGGCCTTTCAACAAGACACACTAAGTCAGTAAGTCTTCTTAATTAATTACGGTCTTGTAGTTGTAAGCTCATCTTTTGCCTTACAGAAAGGTAGAAAAAGCCATTTATTTTTGTTGAGTAATGACACATTAACACATTAGATAGCCACTAAAAGCAAGCTCCCCCAACAGCATTGCTTGTATTAATAAACAAACAACTATTAGGGCAAAAAAGGTGAACGCACTTTCATTTTTGTGTTACCAAGAAAAAGCAGTATGTCGACATGTAGCAGAACTCTTTTTAGCAACTTAATTCAATGAGGCATACACATCTGCATCTTTGACAGATGGTCACAGCTAAGCCGGGTAATCCAGATATGAAGTTCCCAAAGTTTTACGCAAGTGACAACAAGCAGATAATTGTGATAACAATGAAATGACAAGATAGAAACAGACCAAAAAAGAAAAAGAATGAGGAACCAATTGCCATGAATATTCCATTTTTTTACTTCAAAATCTGTTTAATTTCTAATTTTTTGCCCTCAGTTCTGAAAGGCATTCACCTAGTTACTTTTACTCTCTGAAGAACCAACTGTAGAAGATACTGCTAATTGTTAACCAAACAAATCCATTTAGATTCATCTTGAACTGGCATTTGCTTTGATTATAGTTTCAGGCTAGATCAGAAATGTTGTTTCCCACCAGAAATGAAACATTAAAATTGTGAAGACCAATAAGAATACATAGGAAATCAATTGTTGAAGTGGTACTTTCTTTTGACAAATGATTATGCTTTATTGGATTTGTTTTACAAATAAGTGGCAATTTGAAAATAAGAAAAGAGATTGTAAATATTAGAATTTGAACTCTAAACCTATTAGATATCACTTCTTGACTATGAATGCACACTGAACTAAATTTTCTTTATGATCATCACTAAGAAGCTAGTTTCTTTGTTGTCATATTTTTTTTCATTATTGATTGTGGCAACCTTTTAGACTGGTACTTTATCTCCAAACTAAAATCATTAAAAAGAAACCATCACTCAACCAAAAATTTTTGCGTTTCAAACTTTCTAATCTCTGAGTTACGTTCTGGACTCATACTAAAAGACACATCAATATACCATAACAAGTTCATCAAAAGTTGTTCAGTCACAAACTGTCTAATCTGAATCATCATACACATGACAAACATACACAAAATATCGATAATCATAAAACACCTGTGATTGAATCCAGAATTTTGCTCTATTAGTTCATATTTAAAAAGTAACATCTAATAAGTTTAGAATTTAAATCCACCTACTGTAACTTTTTTTATGCCTAAATTACAATCTCTTATGTAAAAAAAAAAAAAACTGGTGATTTTTTTATTTTTTTCTGTAGTATTTGTCGAAAGTTGATTACCTTAAATCCCAAGCATGGGATATGACCACAGAGATGCCCACACGAAAGCAACATTCAACATGAACAGAGGCACACACTTATCATGAAGACATAAACATTGGGTGCTGGGTGACGAGATTTTCCACCGGAAGCAGTAGCAAATCAGCCTAGTTCAAAAATCAACCAGATACCTATAAAAAAAAGATGACCAATCTGTTTTTCGTTTTATTTTTTGGCATGTTCTTTGGAGACTAGAGTTACCTAAAATGAATCACTTGAAATTTGGAAAATTTCAGTGGTTTAATGAGACGGAAATCACTTTGCTTTAGGGTACCACCACAAATTGGACAAAAAAAAAAGCAAATGGCCAGTGAAAGATACGGCAAAAACTCCCCATTAATCTCCCCACTTTCTGCTACATAGTATATCCTTAGATTCTTTGCAAATATTTGCTGGTGTAGTTTTCCAATCCTGCATGCTTTGGCTTTTTCATTTCAAGAGTGAGAAATAGCTATCAAACAAACAATACTGTCAGCACCCTATTAGATATCATCGGATTCAATCAGAGCTCTGGAAAGTAACCAACACACTTGGATATGAGAAAAAGACTTATATGAAGTTTTTGGGGTAAAGTTTGCAAAGTTCTTTATTAAAAATTGTTCAATAAAAACTAAAATCAAAAATCAAAAGCAATTTTATAGTTTGATCTTATCTTTGTGAAGCATTTAGGCAATGACATAAAATAAACAAGAGTCCTGCTCAACCATCGCATGACATGTATAGCTTTATCTAATCTTATCTGCTGCAAAGCAAAGTTTAAAGTTTGCTACAGTTGAAGCACCAAAAAAAAACGATAAGATTTTATAATTCATCATACAATATACTCAAGGCGGCCAATTCGTATCTCCTTTTATGTATCCAGGCAAATTGTACAATTTTGTTTAACATTAAAACGTATGTACAAGGGAAAAAATGTGGGAATTGTCTTGCATTGATTGATTGCAATAAATAGATTAGATTCATATATGAAACAAGAAAATTATTTTACCAGGCTAAACCCAAAGCCAACTAAATTCAGTAGATTATACAAACAAACAAGGAATTTCAGTATCAAAAAAGGAAAAAAAATGTGGGAATTGACTTACCTTGAGTCCTGCTTGAGAAATGCCCAAGAATTCCAACCAAGAATCTTTTCAGGAAATGTTAGCTTGGGTTCTGCAGGATGTTAATGTGAAACTAAAACTGCCTCTGAAGCTTAATTTGTCCATTCAGTACCATCCAAGAGTTGAGTTGTCATTAAAGTGACCTGAAATTATGGACGTATGGAGAAAGAGTCACTTAAGATCAGTCTTCGAAACAGCCACCTGTTGCAGATAAAAGATAAAAGAAACAGGTTTGGCTGGTTTGTTGAGCATACGTTTAGGATGATGAAATTGATCCCCGTTGGAAACTTTCAAACTCCGTCAGAAATTCTGGTTAACCAAAAGAGTGGAACACATTCCATGTGTATGATACATAGAAGTTCCTTGTTTTCCTGTGTAAATTGAAATTTGAAAAGGACTTGTAATCTAAAAAACTGGCAAAGCCTACAGGATTTCTCGACAAACTGTACGTATTTTTTATGTTTACTGTACCCAATATATTTGGATTTTCTTGGCTTGTCTAGTGCATGGTAATGATTTTTATGTTGATCAAATTTGGTTTTTGGTGAAGGGTATGATTTCATTTTCAAAAATCTTTTTTGGCTAATGGTATATATGGATCGTTACCATAATGTATATTTGAATTTCATTTTTGTGCATTAATAATGATTGCCAAGCAGTTCCATGGAATTGGCTTCAAATCCAATAGCGAGATCTTCCAAAGATATTTGAATCTGATCAATCTAAAACCTACGAATACTTTGGAACAACAATATTTTTTTAATTAAATGGCCAAAATCCTATAAAGCACGGATACTGTGAACCTCTCACATATCTGTATGCGACAGTTTGATACTTATGACATATCAAAATACGTGTTAAACTTGATCAAATATTACAAAGAAAAAATGAAGGGAATGAGAAAAAGGTGAGGAAAGGAAAAAAAAAGAAAAAAAGGAAGGAATGTCTTTTTTTTTTTTTTTAATTTTATTTGGTAAGAAAGATGGAAACTAGAGAAAGAAAAAAGTTAGAAATAAAATTGTAAATAAAATTATTAATGTAAGTTGAATAAATATTTTTTTCTCACCTTTAAAAGGAAAGAATTTGGAGGAAAAAAAATGTGCAAATTAATCCATATTTCTTCTTTCTTCCTATTTCTCTTCTATCAAACTTAGAAAATGATGAAAAAAAAGTATTTTTTCCTTTCACCGTCTTTCTTTTCTTCTTCTTTCCCTCCTACCAAACACCATCACTGGTAACTTTGATTGGTTTTGATACATATAGAAATAAAACCTAGATAGTAACTGTACCATGATCTAAAACCTAAAATATCATTAACTATAATTATTGATCTAAATGCACTATCTCCATGCTTTGTTTTGTTCAAGGTTAATTCATAGTCAATGAAGTACTTGACTTGCATGGATGGATCTACCACCATGGTGGGGACAGTTGCCATAAATCCAATTAACTTCTAGTTCTTTGAATATTCCTCCAAATTTGTAAAGAAAATTTGTAATCCTTCCTTATAATTTTAAACAATGAGGGTATGTTGATATAAAATAATTTCTATATTGTCAAAAGTCTAAGATTATGTTAAATTTTTAATGTAAAATGTGTGTTTTAAAAAGATGATAAAAAGTTCAATTTATTCATATATTTATTCAATTTTCATATAAAAACTTGACAAATGATTGGACACATAATATATTTATATAATAAAAATAATATTTTTTTAAAAAACAAAAGTAATAAATAGATGCAATTTTATTTCTTTAATTTTATTTTTATTTTAAAAAGCATTATATTTTTATATTTAAAATGTATTGGATCAATTAAAATAATAATTGAAAAAAATAATGAATTATTGCTTTTATTGTACTTGTGTAGGCTCAAATTTAGAGCCCAAGATTGATGATGGGTCTTAGCCGATAAATTACCCAGCAACCCATGTCTCTCCATGCTCATGGGAATCAACCAAGACCGTCCAACTTGACTGACTTACAACAACGTGAGCCCAACTCCACTAAAAGGTCAAAGTCTTCCTTATGTGACTCAAATCCCAATACAAGTCATAGTTATCAATGTCCCCGGCAGATCAGGCGAAACTTGCATGTAATTTTCGTTGATCCCAAAATCACCCAAGGAATGGCGGATCACCACCACCATCACCACCGTCCCAACCGCCTCTCGCTTCCTCCACGCGCCACCTTTTTTACCACCCCCACCACAACAGCAACCACCCCAAGATCTTACCCTCTGTATTCCTATCCTTCCATGGCAACCCCAACTCCGACTCTCTCAAAACACCGCCTTTCCCTCCAGTCTGCCAAACCATCGTCTTCCTCCTCCTCCTTTTCCTTCCTCCTTCTCCTCCTCTTTTCCCTCCGCTCTCTTTACTCTCTCCTCCCTTTCCTCCGTTCTTCTCCTCCTTCTTTCTCACTCTTCCCTTTCTCTTTCCTCATTTCCTTCCTCTCTTTCCTCCTTTCTCTCTCATTTACCCTCTTCTCCAATAAACACCCCAGAAACCATCCAAAATTTTCCCTTTCCTCTCTCTCCAACTCTCAGCTCAAACTTTTACTCTTAAAGTCCTTCCTTTTATCAATTATCTTCCTTCTCAGGTTCCAAGCTCTTAGATACTGTGGTACAGCTGCTATGATCTTAGCTGAACTATCCGGAAACCTTGCTGGCAGGTTATTTTCCGTAGAGAAAACCCCGAAGAAAAGGTCCTTTTTGTCGTCTCATTTTATTGGGTTTTGCTTTTTATTTATTGGTTTAATGTTATTATCTTTAAGTTGGGATAGAGTTGATTGTTTTCCTATAAATAAGACTGGGTTTTCGATTTATGCTAGAGAAGGTTGTGTTAGAATTTGGCCCATGTTATTGCCGTTTTTATCAGGATTTTTAGGTTGTTATGAGAAGGTTTCCATGAACTCGGGGAGCATTAGGCTGCTTGGTCGAAAAAGGGTTCGGTTGATTTCATTGTTTTTCACTACTGTTATGCTTTTTGTTCCTGCTGTTATTAGTTTCCTTTTTTATGAAATTGAAGGAGGAGGAAATATTTCTATTGAGAATTTAGGTTGGCCTCTGGTGAATACTGTTGTTTTTGGAGTGCTTTTGAGTGAGAATTATAATGATGACAATGATAAGTTAGTGAGTTCTAAAGATTTTCAAAGGGAGTTTGTGGTTACTTTTGTTTATACCATTGTTTTGGAGTTGTTTTATTTCGATGAGTTATCTCTCTCGGGATTGTTGTTGTGCGGTTTATTGTTGTACTTTGCTGTTCGAGAGCTGGATCCTGTTTATTCGAGTTATACTGAATTGGGGATAGAATCTTCAGAGTCATTTAGTATGTCGATAATGAAACCTATTCGGCATATTTTGAGTGAGCGAAAGTCTCGGAAGATTGCATTGTTTCTGTTGATTAATACTGGATATATGGTTGTGGAATTTGTTGCTGGCTTCATGAGTAATAGTCTTGGATTGATATCAGATGCATGTCACATGTTGTTTGATTGTGCTGCGCTGGCTATCGGGCTTTATGCTTCGTATATTTCACGGTTGCCCGCTAATAATCAGTTCAATTATGGTAGAGGCAGATTTGAGATTCTATCAGGGTACGCTAATGCAGTTTTCCTAGTTCTAGTCGGGGCATTAATTGTGTTGGAATCCTTTGAGAGGATTTTAGATCCACAAGAAATATCAACTAACAGTATTTTAACTGTCTCAATTGGAGGGCTCATTGTCAATGTGGTGGGTTTGATATTCTTTCATGAGGAGCATCATCATGCACATGGCGGATCATGTTCGCACTCACATTCCCATCCCCATCCCCATTCTCACTCTCATGACCACCATCATCAGCATTCACATGATCATGAAAGTCATGTTCAACACCATGAGCTTATAAATGTTTCAGATGGATGCCGTGAATTGTGCTCTGGCCGTGAACAGCATCACAGTAACCAACATGGCAGCAACATTTACCATGCTGAAGATCACAAAAAACACACTGAGTGTCATGGCCACCATGACCATGCTCACGATCATGCCCCCCATGATTGTGCCCACCATCATGATCACCATCACCACAGACACCAAAGTGATCACAAGGATCATCATCATGATCAAGGAGCAGGCTTGCACTCCCGTGCTCACTATTCGGAATCTAAAGGTCATTTATTATTGGCACGTAGTAGATCCAAACAGAAGCAACTTCCATCTGAAGGGAAGGAACCACAGAAGCACCATCATCGTCACATTGACCACAATATGGAAGGAATCTTCTTGCATGTTCTGGCCGACACCATGGGAAGTGTTGGAGTTGTAGTATCTACCCTCTTAATTAAGTACAAAGGATGGCTTGTTGCTGATCCTGCATGTTCAATATTCATTTCAGTTTTAATTATATCATCAGTTTTCCCATTACTCAGGAACTCTGCTGAAATTTTGCTTCAAAGACTTCCTAGGGCACAGGAGCAGGGTTTGAATAAGGCCATGAGTGATGTTATGAAGATGAAGGGCGTATGTCGAGTTCAGAACTTGCATGTATGGAGCTTCACAAACACAGACATTGTGGGAACAGTCCACCTCCATATATCAGCTGAAACTGACAAGGCAGCTACTAAAGCAGAGGTGTCGCAGATCTTACATGATGCTGGAATCAAGGATTTGACATTGCAAGTGGAATGTGCGGAACTATAGTAACTGGTCTTAGGTTACACTACAGAGAGGTGAGACTAGCTCATTCATTTTTAGGACGGAATCTTTTTATGATCAAAGGCAACAGATAGCTTCAATTGATATACTGTTGTTAAGGAGTGTGGCTTTCTCAATGCTACCTTGGCGCATGTATATACACATAAGAGTTGAGTTCAACATTGATATTTTTCGTCAAGCAACAGAAAAGAAACAGGTAAATGTTTATGTTCATTACACAGTGTCTTACAAAACTAAAGGATAGTAATAATTTTCTCATAGGTTCAGGTGCCTAAAATCAAAACAAGAAGATTTAATTGGTTATGTAACGAAACACAGCTACATTATTTTCTTATGTAACCTTTTTGCTTACAAAGGGGAAAACTTGTTTTTATGGTTCATTTGGATCCAACTGTCAAATTTATGTTATAATTTTGGCTTGTTTATTGAAAGTATAATTCGATCAGAAACAAAAAGAATGTTGAACTACATGTTTTGGAAGCATTTAGATACATCAAAATGCTTGTTGCCGGCGTCAATATCCTAAATTCTCATTATTGATAATGAGTAATGGACAGATTCCTGCTTTCCTGTGTTTACCATAGCTTCAAAGTGAGGAACTAAGCCTGTTTCCAGCAAAGCCCTGTATACCTCACCAGTGTTTTTTGAGGTTTGATTAGGGAAGGTTAGACAGAGACCAGGTCTTTCCTAATTGAGACGTTTTAATCTTCTACTTGGGCTGATTTTGGAATGAGTCAGCTCTTCATTTTTCATCTTGAAAAGGCTTCTTTAACATCAAGAGATTGATGGAATAAGTACCAAATACTTCATAAAATCCATAACTGAGAAGTCAATTTCTAGACTTTTATGCGGACTTTGGCCTAACTTATTTTAAGACGGTTATCACTAATTACACTTCCTAAATACTCATTTGAATGTTTCAAAAGTATAAGTAGGATTTAGTTTAATTGATTTATATAATATTTTGAGATTTATATTTCGATATTTATAAAATTTTTTAATTTTTAAATTGAGATTTTTGTTATAAAAAAAAAAATTATCAAGTTTCATTTTGGTGGAATTTGGATCCTCCGTCACAATTTAATTTTTCTACCGCATTTCCCACTACTAGTATTTCTAAGCTTAAAATTTAATTCCACATCAAAAGGAAAAAAACTTTTAATAAATTGAATCGGATAGAATTTGATCTATTTTTTGGATAATATATAATATTATAAAATTTTAAAATTTGATTCAAATATGAATTTATTTTTTTTAAATTGATTAAATTTGAATTAAATTTTATTGATTTGATTTGGTTTATCAATTTTTAAATTTTAAATTTTATATATTATTTTAATAAATGTATATATAAAATTGTTATTTTATTTTATAAAATTTTTAAATATATATAAAAATTAATAAAAATATATAATTCAATTCGTTTCGATTTTTATTATTTTTCATATTTTGATTCAAAAATTTATTCAAAATTAATAAATATTTAATAATTAATTTTGATCCAAATCGAATAAAAGATATTGAATCAAACCAAACATTATAATATTAAATTGATTTTTAATTTTTCGATTTTTTTTCACCGCCAAAAATCCCGACATTAGTTACTTCCTACTCACTGTAAAATGTTAAAATGTATGCATCCACAAAATTTTCGTATGATTCGAGTCAATGGAATCAGAAACTCTTTTGACTCGTCGACTCGTAGTTCAGTTGAAACAGTGGTATACTAATACGGCTGCAGACAACATCGTATATGGTCTGTACCGAGTTCGTTAAAGTGCCACGCAAATCTAACTCAAACCAATTGAACTGCTTACCGTCCAACTAAAATCCCAGAACTGGACTGAACCCTACCTCACTTAACTTAGATTTCCCTGATTTGTTACCACCAGAAACAAAGCAGTTAAGCCCTTTTTTTGAGGAGAAGATCTAGGGTTTTTGGAAATGGAGAGTTCAGAGGAGAAGGTGGTTGCTGTGATCATGGTTGGTGGACCCACCAAAGGTAATAAACTTTGCCCTTTTTGTCTTGGTATGTACAATTGAGGCAATTTTCTTGGTGGGTTTTGGATTTTGATTTTGATGATTCTTGTTTTATTGCTTGGATTCTTTTTCCAGGGACTAGATTTAGGCCTCTATCATTCAATACTCCAAAACCTCTGTTCCCTTTAGCAGGACAGCCTATGGTTCAGCACCCAATTTCTGCTTGTAAACGGGTACTTTTTTCACAACTTTTTTTCCTCTTTATTTGATTTCTGAAGAAATTTCAAAACAATTGTCACATAATTGTATTTTAATTGTTATTTTAATCTTTTGTACCATAATTGCAATAGTTTGTTTTATGGTTTTTTTTCCTTTTTTTTTTTGTAATTCGAAGCATAATTAATGTTTATATTTATTGATTTCCTATACCTTTGTTCTGTTGTTGAATAGATACCCAATTTGGTTCAAATTTTTCTAATTGGATTTCATGAAGAGAGAGACTTTGCATTATATGTCTCTTCAATCTCTAATGAGTTGAAAATGCCAGTGAGGTGATTACTGCACTGATTTATTACATTTTTCTTGTTTTTGGCCTTTTATTCTATGGTCGATCTCACATTTTTTTTGTTCTCACATCGGTTGAGGTAGGTACTTGAAAGAGGATAAACCCCATGGTTCAGCTGGTGGCCTTTATTACTTCAGAAATATTATCATGGAAGATAACCCGGTTTGAATTCTGCATTCCTTTTTCCATCCATTCATGTTCATATAATTTTGTTCTTTTTTGCTTTACTATCGTGCTATTATTTCCTTTTCCTTTCGAAGTTCTGATTCTCCATCCTCTGTAACTCTCAAACAATGCTAATTCAATGTGCAGATGCTTTGATTTACTTCTCATATATTTTCTTTTTCTGCAGTCGCATATCTTCCTGCTAAATTGTGATGTTTGTTGCAGTTTTCCATTGACAGACATGCTTGGTAACTTTCCTTTTCCTTATATAAGGTTATACTTTGAGTGTGCTTGTGCTTCCCCTTCAAAATGTGAGCTTTAGTTAAATGCTCATTTATGCAGAGGCTCACAAAAGATACGGTGGGATGGGAACAGTGTTAGTAATCAAGGTTAGTTCTTTTCTTTTTCCTTTTTTTCTCTTATTCAATTTTTAATTATCTGTAGATTGATTTTTAAAATTTACTTTAATTGCAAAATTGTTAGTCTTTGTTGTGGTAGTTTTTAACTTTTTCTTCTTGTTTCCTGTGCAGGTTTCTGCTGAATCAGCTAACCAGTTTGGCGAGTTGGTTGCTGATCCGATCACCAAAGAGCTACTGCATTACACTGAAAAACCTGAGACTTTTGTATGTGCATGGTGCAGTTTTATCCTTTCACTTTTAGTGTATGAGGAATTTATAGCTTGATTAATAGTCCTAATGATTTAGTAAAAATGTTGCTTCTTCCACTTTTTTTCCTTAGCTGTTTATATTTGATGGAATGCAGGTAAGCGATTTAATTAACTGTGGAGTTTACATCTTTACCCCTCATATCTTAACTGCCATTCAGGAAGTCTCCATGCACCGGGAAGGCCAAGGTTGTACTTGTATTTGTAATTACAATTTATGATGCCTTAACAAGCATGATCTAATCTTTGTATGATCTTGCAAAAGATATGGCACTTGAGGTAAAAAAATTAGCTTTGTTCTTGTGGGAGTCTGTCACAAATAAGATATGACTAAGGTCATGTTGCATATTGCAGTCTTCATGCTTTTACAACATGGTTGTTTCCTAATATACACAGAAAATTTTCTTTAGATATCAGTAAATGATTTTTTTTAGGTCATATTGCAGCTAATATACGCCATTTGTCAAGCTTTGAAACCCTGCAGTCTCCAACAAGGTTGTCCTCTTTCACTAGTCTTACTGTGCTTAAACGGTTCTCTTTTACATTTTTATATTCAAATATCTAGGAAAATGGATGAGAGACGTTTCATGTTTATAATTTGGCTTTTGTATACATGTTGATGTTATTGGTATATCTGCTAAGAGCCAACAGGTTCATATCATATGCAATTGATTTTTTAATGTAAGAGAAAACATACTTTTGCACATAATCCTCGAGGGTGCTCAATCAATCTGATAAGTTACCTCTCAAATATTTCTCCTTGAGCTTCTATTTTTCTTTAAAAGGTCAAGACCATATGTCTTAGTGTTTGATAATATGATTTTTCTTTTGCCCTCTCTTTTGTGTTCTGCTCCTAAGAAAATGTTGTATATCTGTTGGTTTTTCTTTTTTTTATTTTTTTGGTTACATCTTTTCATTATGGAAGGCTGCAATTCCAATCATAATGCTGATATCTCTTTCCTCTCAGTAGGGCCCTTCCCCTAGATTTTGTTAGATTAGATCAAGATATTTTGTCCCCTTTTGCTGGAAAGAAGCAGTTGTATACATACGAGACTATGGACTTCTGGGAACAGATCAAGACGCCAGGGTAAAATGTTATTTTGTGTTTGTTTTTCAATGAATTAATATTGATTGTCTTCTGCATATCCAAACCTGTTGTTATCTGTACAGGATGGCTTTAAAATGTTCTGGTCTTTATCTTGCCCAATTCCGCTTTACCTCATCCCATCTATTGGCTGGTGGAGATGGAACTAAAAGTGCTTCAATTGTTGGTGATGTTTTTGTGCATCCCTCAGCCAAAGTACATCCAACTGCAAAGGTATTCCAGCTTGTCTTTTTATTCTAGCATTTTTCAATATACTCTTTGTTGTCCAAATGCATAACCAAGTTCCGAGTCACTTTCATGAACAGATTGGTCCCAACGTCTCTATTTCAGCAAATGTTCGTGTAGGAGCTGGCGTAAGGCTTATAAGTTGTATCATCTTGGATGATGTTGAAGTTCAGGTAAGGAAGTGAACGTTTGAAAAGAAAACCTTCACATTTTTCTGTGTTAAACCAGTGCAAGTATTTATTCATTCGAGGAGAATATAGTTTGCTGTATTTTCTCCTGGCAGGAAAATGCAGTTGTTATTAATTCGATTGTTGGATGGAAGTCATCAATAGGGAAGTGGTCTCGTGTCCAGGCAAGTTTAGTACCTTTGTGTTGTAACCATATTATATACATATACACACATCATTCACACCCACATACATATAGATAGATATAGAATTGAGCCAATTTGTGTTCAATTAGCCTTATTTATTATCATAGCAGGCATGAATTGTTTCCTTGGTAGGGTATAAAACATGATTGATGATTATCAGAAAACAACTCTATAGAAATTTGTTGGAAGAAACTAGTAAATATAGCACAAGTTCATGTTTGAACATCACTACAAAGAACTAAGGTGGATTATTTTGTTCAGCTGGCTGATGGTCAACTTATTTTTCAGGCTGATGGAGACTACAATGCAAAGCTTGGAATTACCATCCTTGGTACTTTTCTGTACGACTAAATTTCTAGACGGTTTGATATATTATATTTTTAGTGGATAAAATCTCCAATGCAGTTGAAAAAATGTTGAGTTTGAGTTTATTTCTATTGCAGGAGAGGCTGTAATTGTAGAAGATGAAGTTGTTGTGATCAATAGTATTGTTCTTCCGAATAAGACCCTTAACTTGAGTGTGCAGGATGAGATCATTTTATGACAGTGAGGCTTCTTCTCACAGCCATCCTGATCATTTTACTTCCAGTTGGAGCATAATTGAGGCAGAAGTACAACTGTGGAATAGATTTACCACCAAAACCTTTTGATTTAAGATAACAGTTATAATTATCAATTTGAAGTTTAGAAATTTTCGAAGTCGAAGAGATAATTCTTTTGGTTGCTTTTGATCCTTACTGGTTGCTGCTCTTCTGTATGCTTCTAGTTTGGTTCTGTTGCAATATGTAGTTGCTGTTTCCTTGGCTGAATAGGATGGCAATTGCATCCAAATGAAATAAAATAGAACTTAGACAAACTCAATCTTTCCGGGGAAAATGCTCCAACTGATTGTGTTATCTATTTGGATACAAAACATTCCTTGAAGAACAAATAAAAAATAGCATATTATATCATTGGAATCAAGGAAACCCATTGCTTTCAAAGTTCCATCCAAGCAGGCACCATTGTCACTTGGAGATATTATCGAAAACTGGTAACTGGAGGACAAGAAACAGCAGGAAATGAACCAACTGCATTAAATATCATTATCAAAACAGCAAGCAAGAAAAAGCCCATTCTCTGCAACTTTAGATACATTTGGAACTGACTGCACTAATGCTAGCACATTCTTGATTCTTAAACTCACTCCGGAGAAACGATCTTCATAAAACACAATGATATGAGCAAAATTTGAAGTTGATTACGGTCCAACCGTACAGCTGGAAGGGTTTACACAAACCTCAGTTCCCGAGAAGAATTCAGAAAAATGAATTTCTCAGTGTTAAATTAATAATACTAATTGTACACAAAACAAAAACTATCCTGATATCTTTCTATGGTAATCGGATGAAGGAAACCTTACGGTTCCACTAGATCACCCATTCCTAAGGCACACACTTCCGGGAAATGTCTTTACTTTCATCTAGTCTTTGAGTCTCTTGACTTGGTCAGAGATTTCATGAGATAGCAGCACTGAGTTGATTACCACTAATCATAATTGTATTGACAGTGGGAATACAAGATCTGCTCTCCTTTGCTACTAACTCTATTCAATCAGCACCAGAAGGAAAGTAGTAGTCAAATTAGCCCTTTGCATTTACTGGTGTGGCCTCAATTCCAACTTGTATGCTTGTATTTCCATGGGAGGGATAATTACACGTCCATCTTGAGCAACATCACCAACCTGCTCAGTGTACCCTAGCATCTCTGTGTCCTCATGCAGAAGATTTAAAGAAGTTGCTCTTGCATTTAGCACCGCAAGACCCTTGAACATGTTGAATAGGTTTACAGGCTCATCAGCCACACTTATACATTGAGATCTGGCCTTCTGGCAGTAAGAAGAATCCCAATTTCGCCTATGCAACGTTAAAACAAATCTAGGATCTCCAAGCTGCTGTTGAGAATATTTTGAAAGTTGGGGAACTTTGAAACTCACAACATGCAGATCACATGGTAAGGGAGTAGCTAGAGGAGAAAAGGATCTTGAGAGTGTCTGCACAGAAATTTCTTGCGGCTTCTTGGCAATGAATGCATGTAAGGGATAATTCAGGTGAGCACTAACACAATGAGAAAGAAGAGATGGACTCAGAGGAAGAGGGTTGGAAACAGGATTTGAAGTTGAAGAAATGTTGGATTCCATCAGGATATGGAAAACAACATTCATGACACGATTGTCCATCACTCCTTGCCCAAGACCACGCCCATCATCTCTCACCAAACGACGATCAAGCATAATCTCTAGCCACCCCTCTTGAAGGCTTGCTGCACCAACTGCTTGTCGAGAATGAACAGAAAACCGCTGGCCATTTGACCCTTGCATGAAAGCAAGGGAGGACATGGGATAGTAATTTCCCTGCAATGGAATCTTATCATATGTTTCTCTCCGGCTCATTTGAAAGCCATTCAAGTCAGAGTAGAAAATTCTTTTATTATCAGTATCTGTCTTATATCTAACAATTAATTCTCTGTCATTAAAATCCTTGCCAAGAAGCTCAACATGATATTCCTTCTCAATCAGAAACTCCTGTATTGTATTGCCTCCATTGTAAATACGAGTATAATGTGAGATGGGGGTTTTCTCCCATGAGGTCTTTGGGTAAGAGTACACCTCTTGCATCAAGGGACCCTCAGAGATAACCAGGTGCCCACCAGACTGAATTATAGGCTGAGCATCACCATCAGGTAAGAAAAGGTATGCACCTCCTGAACTTGAGTAAAGGCCTAACTCTTCAGCCACAACATTTTGGGAACCATTTTTGTGGGTTACTCTATGCAACAAACCATGCTTGACATCAAAGGTGAGAGTTTGATGCCGGTTCACGATTTCAACCACATCTCCTTCTACTTTTGAGCAAGCATACGGTGCAAGGCACTGAATTGAACTCAACTTTGAGAAGAATTTGAGTTTGGCTGGTTTAGCTTTTTCACATCCAACAAAGCCATTAGCAATATAATATGCCTGCAAACCCATGGCAGGAACAGAAGCTTTCCAGTGGACACGATGCCTGCCTGTAAAAACCTTGCTTTTGTCATGCTGCAATTCAGGAGAAACCTGGCTTTGAACACAAGTCCAGTTAGAATCCAAAACAGTAATATCTGGTCTGTTAACAACTACCATCACAACCTCTTCTCTTGTTTGCTCGAGAGGATTAAAGAATACAACTGACTGTGCAGTTCCTTTGGGAGCACTGATCGCTCTATGCACAGGCAGGGCATCATATTTAGATCTCAACTGTTCAGGATCAAACTGGGCAGGGGTCTGATCAGACTTCTCTTGGCGAATTCCAAGCAATACTTCAATTGCTTTGGACATGAAAATCTGCAGGTCCTGTAAAGAAGTGTGCATCCGATTTCCATAATCCAGAACAACATGATCCTTAGCAGTTCCAGTCACTCCATCATGATGCTGAAAAAGAGCTAAATTCCTCCTTGCAGCTGTAAACTTATAAGCATACCCCATTGGCAACTTCTCACACTGTGCTCTCTGGCAATGACCAAGTAAGAATGCCATGAACATTTCTGCTGCACGAAGTGTTTGCTCTAATACCCGATCAACAGCTTTGAAGAAAGGTCTCGACACATAATAGCCACTCCAATAATACTGCTGCCTATCAGCATAAGTAAAGAAGTCACCTGATAAAGAAGGAAAACCTCCAATCTGACCAGAGCCGATTTCTCTAGGAAGGGAATAGTTTATTCTGTCAGCCTCATCTCGAAGGGTCTGGAAATAGTCATCCAAAGTACCAAATTTTGCTTCTGCATTTAAACTGGGACTAGAGTTAATGTAATCAAATATCATTTGATAATTTCTAAACTGAGCTTCTGCTTCATCAATGCTGACATAGCGGAAATCATCTCCCAGAGGTACAAGAAGCGTATTGGTCCGGTATAGGGTTGACTTCTTCCGATATTGATCTAGTAGTTTTAGTGCCCTCTCCTGCACATTTTCTTGGTTAGTCTCTACAGGATGTTTGCCCCACGGACAGAGTTCATAAAAGAAGCCATGTCCACGTGTACGAGCAAAATCAAACTGACAACAAATTGCAGGCTCTGGTCCACAAGTATGTGGAATATCATATGAATAGAATGGCATCATATGCACAAAAATGTCAGTAGTTTCCTCAGCATCCCAGCTCTGACGCCAGATATATTCCAAATTTTTATTCCAAGCAAGTTCCTTCTTCAGTTCATAATGGGTCCTTTGAATAAGCATGTTCTCAAAGCCCATACGACGGAGGAGATAAGCCATGGTAGGTGAGTAACCAAATGGATCTATTGCCCAAGAATTTTTGGGGACAAACCCAACGGTGTCATTCAGCCACATATTTCCTTCAGTTATCTGTTCACAAATATCAGAAAGTCAAAGTAAATAACAAGGCATTAAAGAATTTTTGAGGATAGAACACTAAAAGAAATAGAAAACCTTGTTCATCATTGATGAAAATTTAAAGAAGACAAGGAAGCAAGAAAGAAAGTCATTTTAATGGATTTCCCAAATGCATGAGTAAACCCTGGTTTTTCAGGAGGTTTACTCAAACACATCTAGCATCTTTTCAAGTGCGAATCCAAAAATATAGGACAAGTTGATATTTTCACACACGACATCATGGGTCACAATCATTGACATATACACAAAACACAAGACCTCAGCATACCAAAACCTTCTAAAAAGATGGTCATAAAGCCAAATACAATCACCAAGAAACAAGGTTCAAGGTATACCTGCTCGATTATGGCAAAATAATGTGAATTAGCCTGTATCAAGAAAAAAAAAAGGTTGTTAAGTCCAAATGCAAACTTCATAATCTGAAATAGCTACATTGAAGTTTAATTCTAAGTACGGGACTAAAATAACCAAAAAGAAAAGAGAGAATTAGAGAAAAAGAAAACAATGTTGAACTAACCCCCCCCCCCCCCAAAAAAAAAAAAAAAAAAAAAACCACATGTATGAATTTCTAGGATTACATAAGCTTGTGGGGATACCTCATCATTCATCACCCAGCCACCTCCTACTATTTCTAACTGGCCATTCTTCACCAAATTTGTGAAAGACTCCCTTTTATCCACTGAGGCATCTCTCCACCATCTTTCCAAAAATGACATCTCTTCCCATATGAACTTCCGCCTATTATCCTGCAAATACAATTTCAAACAACTTAGGAAATTTAAAAGGCTGCCATTTTCTTTTAATCCGAAAAAAGAAAAAAGAAAGTTAATATTTTCTTGTTTCTCCTCAATTTAATAGTTATAAATAAGTCTAAGTGCACAAAAATCACCTTTGTGTAACATACATATTCCAAGAAGCAAAACAGCTTTGAACTAAAAAGTTAAAAATACATTTAACTATTTCAACACAATCCATTAAAACATATCAGCTTCAGTAATTACTCCAATAAACATCAAAATTTACTTCCCAAAGGAATCAGAAGGATTACTGAAATTCCATTTCTATGCAAACTAAAGGAAAGATAAAACATTCCCACTATTTCATTCACTTGACCTGACTTTAGCACCATGGATCCATAAAACACTAACAAGCTCAAAAATCAAATCCCAAACAAAACTCTAACTTCATTCAACACTAAATATCAACAGAAAAAAGAACTAGCAAGCTGAACAACCAAATCCCAATCAAAATTTAACTTTATTCAACACCAAATATCAACAAAACAAACAAGCTCAAAATCAAATTCCAACTTTATTAAACCATTAAAAAACCCCATTAAAAAAGGAAAAAGAAAAGAAAAACCTCACCTTTGACAAAGTGTCAACAATGGTATCAAGTATAATCCTTGACTGCCTCTCATAATACTCTTCCACCGTGAACTTCCACCCTGGATCATTATGAGAATGAGGTACCACAAAAACCTTCAATTTTTCGCTATCCCATTCATCTCCTTTATAACTAACTTTCCACCCTTGTGTCCAAGCCCCTCCAGGTTTATCCAAAAACTCAATTTTATCATACAATTCTTTAGTCGTTATATCCACCGCGGCACCGTTCTGGTTTGGATTCAAGATGGGATGTTTTCGGATTACTGGTTTCCGAGTCTTGAGCCTTCTGGTCATGGATCGGGCCTTGAAGTGGGATGAAATGGGTTTTGGGATTCCGAAGAGGAGAGTTAAGAGGAAGAACATAAAGGAAAGGGAAAGAGCTACGGTCAAGAAGTTGGTGAAAAGGAAGCTAATCAGAGCCGTCCGTTTTCGTGACTTTCGAGTAGAATGGGCTTTCGGAGTTGATTTGGCGGTGTCTGATGAAGAAGGGAGTAATGACTGTGCCCATTCTCCGCCACTGCGGGTGTCGCCAAGGTAGGAGGACAATGGCATGTTTGGGATTCTCTAATTAGCGTTTGTTTCTTCTTTCTTCTTCTTCCTCCTCTTCCGTTTTCTGCTTTTCCTTCTTTCAAACAGAGCTTCCTCCGTTTTTCTCTCTGTTTATTTTTTTTTATGTGATGGGAAGACATGGCGATTTTGGCGCCTTTCTGTTTTATTTTGTGTCGTTGTAAAATACGAAAATGATCACGTGATAATTCCTATCTACATACGCACATATACTTAAATTTTATTTTTTTCGTTAAATTATGAAATATTTCATATAATATTAAAAATTACTTTAAAATTATATAAAATATTTAATATGATATCTCAATTATAAATTTATTAAATATTAATTTCAACTATAAATCAAAATGATATTAGCTCATATTGACACGTGACAAACAAATAATTTTTTTAATATCATATTAATTAATAAATTTATAATTTAAATATCATATTAAAAAATTTTAAAATTTTATATCATATTTATTATAATTTAAAAATCATACCCCATAATTTTTTTTTTACTATCGTTTTATAATTATCCAATTTTAATAAAAAAATTATATAAAAATCATATAAAATTTTGATGAACTTCATAATTTTTTTAATTATAATTAATTGTATTACAATAATTATAATTAATATACTCCTTAAATTTATATATAATTTTTATTAAAATTTCAAATCATATAACTTTTGTATTTTTCTATATCAAATATATTATGTTTAAAATTATCATATCAACAATCAAACATTTTATTTTTATTTTTTAAAATAAAAAAAGAAAATAAATTTATATAACTTGAATTTTGGTGAAAACATTTTTTAGTCTTTCTTCTTATAAATGTGGATTCTTCCTAATAAATTTGTACCAAAAGATAATGATTTGTATTATTATAACATAGTAATCTACTACATTTATTGAGCCTTAACTAAATAATAATACTAGCAATGGATAAATTGTAATCATTATCTCATAAATTTACTAATAAAAGATAAATGGTAGGTATCATCTCATGAATTTTATTTCTCATCTTACATTTTTTATTCTACATTTTAAGAGAAATTTTAATTTTAAATTGTTTAAATGTAAATCCATAAATAATTATTGAATTTAGATATGTTAAGACTCCTAGTTAATTATTTTCACTTTATCTCTAGATTTTTTAGAATAAATTTTTTTTAATGAGAGTTAAAGTTACAGCTCAATCAAATAATTCCCAAAAAATTAAAAAAAATTATTATATTTAGTATAATATTTAATTAATAAATTAAATAAATTAATAAATAAATATAAAATTAAATTAAATTCAACTATGATTGAATTCAAACTTAATATTTTATGATTTTAAAATCTTTTCCTTGTTATAGAGAATTTATAGATTTGGGAATTAGCTTGATTAAAATGTTTTATTTTGATGAAAAATTCACTTAAAATGTTTAATCAGTAATAAAAAAATGAAAAATAAAAAGAGAGTTGTTTGTTGGATTAGCTTAAGCTAACTCTTATTATTGTTTGGCTCCAAATAACAATCCACGCGTCCAAACAAAACGGCCCAGAAATATTTTTAATACAGTTTGCCACTTCTCCTTTTCGCTCAAAATTTTACAGTTTCAGAGCTGGTCTCTAGCCTAGCCGTTACCAAACTCCTAAATCTCCCTTTCTCTCTCTATCAGGTACTTATTTCTTGATTTATGCTTTAATTTTCAACCATTTGTGTTGTTTCTCAAATGTATTATATGATCTTCAGATCTGTTTTGTTTATGGTAATTTAAGTTTGACTTAGATTCATAGTTTCTAGACTGAAGATCCTGTGGATATGAAAATTGAAATGAACCCAATTTTGAAATTTTGATTCTGGGTTGTTTTGATTTTAATTCCTTATGCTATAAAATTAATTGGGTTCTATTAGAAAATGATCTTTTTGTTATGATTTCTGGGATTGATTTTGTTTGGCGGGTATCTCTTAGGTTTTTGTATCTTTCCCTATGAATTTTTAGGAAAATTTGTTTCTTTTTTGTTTGGGATTATCATTTGCTGCATCTTCGACGTTGCTCTGAAGCCAAATCCTGCATTTTGTTATTCAAGAGAGTTACAAGGTTTAAATTTTAATTTTTGAAAACATTTGGTTGTTTCTGCACCCAAAGATGCTCCTTTGCTGAAAGGAAAGCAAGTAGCAAATGAATAATCAAATGGAGCCTTAGCGATTTCTAATTTGGTATAAGTGCTCACAATGTCATATATTAGATATTTAGATTGCTATTGCACGTAAAAGAGTTTGAGAATTACTTGAAATGACTTGGGTGGTTTAAATATTATTGATCAATGTATATTTGATATGATTTTGGATATTGAAATTGAAGATATAAGGAACTGCCACTTGGAGTTCAAAAGATGCCTGCACAGAAAATTGAGACAGGCCATGAGGACACAGTCCATGATGTTGCCATGGATTATTATGGAAAACGTTTGGCAACTGCCTCATCTGATACTACCATTAAGATCATTGGTATAACCAGCTCAGGTTCACAGCAACTTGCTGTTCTACATGGCCATAAAGGACCCGTTTGGGAGGTTGCTTGGGCACATCCCAAGTTTGGTTCAGTGCTTGCATCCTGTTCTTACGATGGCCAGGTGATAATCTGGAAGGAAGGTAATCCAAATGAGTGGCTTCAGGCTCATGTTTTTAATGATCATAAGTCATCCGTGAACTCCATTGCATGGGCACCCCATGAAATTGGCCTCTGTTTGGCTTGTGGATCTTCTGATGGGAATATCTCGATCTTCACTGCTAGGGCTGATGGTGGTTGGGATACCACCAGGATAGACCAAGCTCACCCTGTTGGAGTAACCTCAGTTTCATGGGCACCATCAACAGCACCAGGTGCTTTAGTTGGATCTGGTCTACTGGATCCTGTTCAGAAGCTTGCATCTGGTGGGTGTGACAATACTGTGAAAGTATGGAAGCTGTCTAATGGTACTTGGAAGATGGACTGCTTCCCTGCCCTCCATATGCACAATGATTGGGTGAGGGATGTTGCTTGGGCACCCAGCTTGGGCCTTCCTAAATCCACCATTGCAAGTGCTTCTCAGGATGGGAAAGTTGTTATTTGGACTTGTGCTAAAGAAGGAGAACAATGGGAGGGTAAGATTTTGAAGGATTTCAAGACCCCAGTTTGGAGGGTCTCATGGTCGCTGACCGGAAACTTGTTGTCTGTTGCCGATGGGAATAACAACGTAACTTTATGGAAAGAAGCAGTTGATGGTGAATGGCAACAAGTTAGTACTGTTGAGCCATGAAGTTCTGAGTTTTTCTTTTTCATCTCTCTACAGTCATTTTAACTTCTTTTTATTCTTGTCAGCTTCAAGTTCCTCAGTCTGTTATCACTATTTTCTAATTGATTTTTGTTTGAATACTTCCATTTGCGATGTTGTTATTTTTTCTTGGCATGGTGTTGATCTATACTTGGAAACTACTTTTGATTTGTTCTTTTTGCAACATTGGAAATTTATCGAGAACTACTTATGAGTTCAACATAATTATGTCACTGTTAGCACCCAATCCATAGCTTTCAATTCTTGAAACAGTCCAATTAAGTGGATTTCATTAATAGATTTGAATTTGACGGGTGAACTAAATCTATCGATTCGAATATTTGTATAGTGTAAAATATTGTATTAATGTTATATTTTATATGAAAATTATATTATAAATCATATTAACATAAAAACATGAAATATATTTTTTTAATTGTATTAAATTTATTTATAATTTTTATTAAAATTTTATATAATATTATTATTATATTTTTAATTTATATTATTTTTATATCATATCGTCGTATTATGTTTTAAAATTTAAAAATTTTTATTTGAAAAATATCTAAAATCGTTCATGACCAACGTTTTAATACGAAAAAAAATAAATTATATGTAATTTAATGAACATGAGTCAAAAATTTTAAACTCATTTATAAAAATAAAAAATTCTTTTAAATTTGTTTGTAAAATTAAAGTTTTTTAACGTGGTTTATTAAATAATAACTCTTTTTTAGTACAAATAATAATACAAGCCCGAGCAAGAGGTCAAGCACAAAAATGTGAAAGTAAAAGCGCGGTTCAAGATCTCAATTTGAATTCGCGCGACCCACCGAACAGCCAATGTGAAAGAAAACAAACACCAGATCTGATTTCACATTTGGATTTACAAACCCGCCAACCAAATTTTCTCTCTCTTTCTCACCGACCAAGCACAAAACAAGATTCAACTTTCCTTCTTACGTCTTCTCTTCTCTTGATTCACTTTTTATTGCTCGGGAAAACATCCATGTCTTCATTTGTTACCCGACAATCTGAAACTAATTCAAGAACTCTTTACCGTAGCAAAGAGCAATCTCTCGGCCTTTTGTGCTCCAAGTAAAATCTTTTCTTAGCTCCTTGAAGTTTCTTGGATTTGATCTTGTTCAATCTTTAAACTTCTTAACATTCTTTTGTATCGGTTTCATGGCGTTGTATAATCATGGCGATGTTCAAACGATTGGACTCGACGATGCCGCTTAAGAATTAGGTCTTTTATCTAATTTTCTATTCCTTGCTGATAAAATGAAAATGATTACTAATAATTCCTCGCCCCAAAAGTTGGAATCTTGAAGATCAACATTTTATTAGAATTAAATTAATGGGCTTTATTGAAACCCTCCTGGATATTTCAGGAGTTGAACGTCGTCGTATCTATGATGTGGTGAATACATTGGAGAGTATTGGAGTAAGATGCAATTTTTTTTTTTTTTTGTTTTACACTCATTTTTTGTTATCATTTCTTTTATTGGTTTACTTGGTGAATGGTATAGCTTGAGTTGGTTCTTGGGTTTTTATGTTTATTTAGGTAGTGGCAAGAAAAGGGAAGAATCAATTCTTGCGGAAGGGTTATGGAGAAATTCCAAGGGCTTTGGAGAAACTTAAGTAGATTTTAAGTTTCTAATTTTCATTTCATTTTCACCTTTTTTATAATTATTTTTAAACTGAAGAACCGGACTTGTCATTTTCCTGCTTACAGGAAGAGGCTCTGAAACAGAATTTCTGTATTTCAGGTTGCAACAAATCATTAAGGGTAGAATTCTGTTGTAGTTCCTTTACTTCATTTGTTTGCTGAAAATTTTAGCCCCAAAGAAACTTAAGCAAATTGGTTTTTCAATGAGTGGAACTGAGACAGTTGCTAACATATCTTAGTGATGTAATATAAAGGGGAAACTGGGTCTATTATATCTTATCAATTTAGTTTGATTCAGTTTATGCCTTTAATTTGAAGTAGGGTTAATACGTAGTTTGGCCTTTGAACTATATTATTTTTAACGATCCGGTACCTATAGAACCATTGACTAACACTGTTAGTCAAAATGCTGACATTTTCTTGTCAATATTCTCGTCTTTCCATGTTTAAATAGCTGAGCTATTTTGTTTAAGTCTCAGATGAAAATGAAAGTAGAGTGTCATTAGATATGAAGATTGAAGAGCATGATATTCCTTCAGAATCATCTAAACATAGCCTTTTTATTCTGTCTTTTGATATGCTAGTAAATTACTTTGCAATACAGATCATTGTTCTACATACAGTCATTCATGCGTGGAACACAATTTTTGTAAAACAAATTTTCATTTGTTTATAGTATTTTAGCCAGCATTGCTGTTTATTTGCTTAGATACCAGAAGAGAAAAATCCCTCTGGCTTATCGCGCAGAATTTTGTCAAGCTTTTTCTTTGCTCAGAAGTAAGAGAACTTCTCTTTTATGTGGGTTTGCTGTTATGAACCGTTAATTTGTCCTGTATGTTTAATATCTGATTTCCTACAGGCTGAAATGATCACCCTTGATAGTGCTGCGGTTGCTTTGCTGGGTGATGTCCACAATTCAACTGCTATGAGAAGTAATGGAACTCACCATTATTAACTTCATTTCTAAATTTTATTAATGCCAATCATTTGTGCTTTGCTATGGTTGCAGCAAAAGTTAGACGATTGCATGACATTGCCAATGTGCTTTCTTCCATGAATTTGATAGAGAAGGTAATGACACTATCGCAAAAAGCACATCCAAATCCTGCAAAAAAGAATTCCTTCTTTTCCCCCCATATCATGCCCAAGGATCATAAATCATAAGCGACCTCAGCCCTCAAAGAAGCCTAAAACTTGTCCCGTGCTTCTCACTAGTTCTTTATTTGCTTGATCGATTTGCAGACCCACCACCCTGATAGCAGGAAACCGGCATTTAGGTGGCTTGGATGGGGAGCCAAACTTCATAATGGATCAACGACAGCTTTGGTTTTGAATGAATCAAAGAAGAGGATGTTTGGGACTGAGATTACAAACCACAGATTAAAGAGAACAAAGGCAAACTCAGTCTATCAGAAGTTAAACCAAAAGGAAAATATGGCAATGCATATTAAGCACGAGAATGCAGATAAAATGGAGCAGCATTCAAAGCAGAGCTCCAAGGGTTTTGTATTTGGCCCTTTTACTCCTGCCAATATGCCCTCAAGAAATAAAAATATGAGACCAATTCGGACTGGAAGAGCCTTGCGTCTACTTTTAAACCTCAGTATCTTAATCAAGGTATATTACCTTCTTTGATTCATTATTTAAAATATATATTACTTTCCTCAGTTGTTTCAGCAGACAGAATGAGTCCTTTTCCTTTTGGATCATGTATAAAACATAATGGCAGCTGCTAGTGGGATTGCTCCTGTCTTGCATATCAGGCGTGGTCATATTAGAATCCATATAATTGCCATTGCAATTGTATGATATGGTTTTGTTAATGGTGTTGCAGCTCTTAGTGATCTTTTGGCTCATTACATGAAAGCATGGAAGTCTTGGTATGCTGAAGTTACCGGAAAAGAAGAGATTCGTTTAAGTCCCCGATCCCCCTTTCTGATTCTCTAACATCAAGATGACCAAATACACATGTTCAAAATGGAACGCAACATTTTTTTTACAGGTATATGACACTTTGTTGGGTGTATTTTCTCTATCCATCCCTCTCCAGTAATCATAACCATTCACTTGATGCGTTTCCTAATGCCTTCTGTGAGCTTCGAGCTCCTTTACATTTTTCTTTCCTTGTTTAGAAACTTGAACATGCAATAAGTTACTGAATTACTGATCAAAGAAAGAAGAAATTATTATGAATTTGAAGAGTTTTTCATAGATTTAATAACCAAGATAGCTATCATGGGCTACACAGATTCATCGATATCGATCTTGTCACTTTGTCTTTACATTCATTTCCTCTCTTGTTTGAAATTGGCAGCTAAGTCTTATGAACTTCAGAATAATTACAGGACCTTAAAAGCTATCATATCATTATTTCTATGAACATCTTGGTGAGTTTGTCCTTACTTGAAAGAAGAATCCTTATCTTTTCTATCCTCAACCAATTCCAGGGCTTTATCAACATTCATTTTCAAGCCTTTATCATCATATATATCTAATTGATTTAGTAGAATTTTTGAACGTCGCAGATATTATTGGGGCAAAGTTGCGGTATACCATAAGGTGGGGTCAAAATCACAGGGTTTTGTGGTTCTAAGCCTTGGCTAAGAAACCATTTGAGCCACATGCACCACCTCCCCACTTGTTCATTGTCCTACTTGTGAGAAATGTGATTTAGTGAAAGAACAATGGGCCTACATTGTTTAGTGATTTTCTTCAACCATCAATTTTTTTTCCCTATTTTGGCTCTTGTTTTTCTATGATAGACTGACTCCTGGTTCGAGCTTTGATGATGACATGATCCTTCATTGTTTTCATATTAAGATGACGCAAACCATTAATGAGTTAAAAGTCCTTTTCTTCCCCTCTTAATAAGCATATACCAAAGCAAACTTTCTGTATTCACCTACATTTTCTCTTTCAAGTGGGAAAAAAGATGTTGATTTGATCCCAATTCCCCTAGATCTTTTTTCTCATTTTTAAGAAAAAGTTAATATACCAAAATTTGCCCCTTGACCCATTTTATTCTAACCTTGTCAAATCCAACCGCCAAATTATTTCTTTAATCACTCTGTTTCTTAATATTAGATCGAGTAATTTATATATTTATATTATATTTTATATAAAAATTATAAATCATAATTTTTATTGATATAAAAATTTAATTAATATTTTTTATTAAAATTTTAAATTATATTATTTTTAAATTATATTTAATATTATTAGGTTTACTTAATTCATGCATCCAATTGAATTATATTTTATTTTTATAAAATATGATAATATGTAAATAAAGCAAAAAATTGTAAGTATAATATTTAAATTTTAAATAAGTGTATAAATTTTTATAAAATATAATTATATGAATTAATTGAATTAAATTTTAAATTTTATTTAAAAAAATAAAATGTTAAATCATTTATTATTGGGTAGAAGATACAAATTTTAATATATTTAAATGTTTTAAAATAATATTAATACGAGATTAATTGTAATTAATATTAACATAATTTTTTATAAAAAAATATAATACTTACATGTAATTATCTCAAAATAAAGGGTTATTTTCTCAACCTCTCGTGTCTCGTCGGCCTAAAAAAAAAAGAAACCCTAAAAACGAGTTTTAAATAATAATAATACGGCGAAAAAAAGGGGAAATTAAGGGGAAAAAAAAGAGCTCTTGAAGCTCTCAACTACCTCTGATGGCATCGACAGCCACAGCCCGAGCCGTTATCTTCTCCCGCATCACCGCCTTGTCAGCCAAACCCCTTCCGCCTTCTCTCTCTCGCTTCCTCCCCAACCGACGCAACCGTTCTTCTTCTGCTGTAACTGTGAGATGCTGCTTAAACGGCGGCGGAGTCTATGACGACTACTTCGTGTCAACGCACAAATCGAATTTAGATCGTGGATTCTTAGTGATAGCTAATATGTTAAAACACATCGAACCTCTCGACACTTCCGTTATTTCCAAGGGGGTTTCTGATTCCGCTAAGGAATCGATGAAGCGGACTATCTCAACTATGCTAGGGATTCTCCCATCTGATCAGTTTTCCGTTTTGGTTTCCCTCTCGAAACCTCCTCTTCATCGGATTCTCTTCTCCTCTATCATCACAGGGTAAAATTTTTTAATTTCAACCTCAAAAAAGAAAAATTTTCTGTTATAATTTATTGTTTTTATAATAAAAGAGATTATTTTTTTCTTTAGGTATACGTTGTGGAACGCGGAGTATAGGGTTTCCTTGATGAGGAATCTAGAAAGAGCGGCGCCGGCGGAGGAGTTGGCTAAGGAGACGGAGGAAGACGCTAGGCGGCAGCAGAGTGAGGTGGTTGAGGAGAAGAGGGAGGATAGAAAGAGTGGAAGTGGTGAATTTGAAGAGTTGGAGAAGATAAGGCCGAGGGTTTTCGGGGATTTGTCGCCTGAGGCTTTGAAGTATATTGAGAATCTGCGGGCTGAGTTATCTGATTTGGAGGAGGTGAGGATTTTAGATTTTTTTTTTTTTATAAAAATGTTAAACTTTTTTAATATATGCTTTAAAAAGAAATAGGTTGTGGACTCATAATTTTCTTTTTATAATTAAGGATTGGAAAGATGCAAAATTTGTAGTAAATTAGTGAAATGGTGTTTGATGGTTATATGGAAAAATTGGAGGAAGTTATTTCTTTGAGAAAATAAAATTAAGGTTTTCTTGCTTGGAAAATTGGTTATTAAATTCTGGTTTCTTTATTGAGTTTGTAGTGATTGCATTTCATCTTCCTGACTGTATCTCTGGTTATTAAAGTACGTTAGCAGCAAACATGTTTTGACAATATATTTTCGACCGTCCCTTTCTTGTTATGTGCTAATAAGAATGTTTACATTGAACTTTGTCATCCTGGTTTTCAAAGTTTGACATATCCAAGCAGTTATTTAATGGTGAATCCATCTTTCCTCCATTTGGTGGATCATAATACTAATAGTTTGGTATATATACATGCATATATATGTCTGTTCGACAAAAAAAAAAAAGAGATTAATTCTTTATTTGGCTGTGTTGGAGTTTATAATGTGTTTCCTGTTTTCCTTCCATATAAGCTAATTACTGTATGTTTTCAGGAACTGAATGCCCAGAAGAAGGAAAATGTGCGAATAGAATGTGACAGGGAAAACAGGAATGATTTGTTAGAGTATTTACGATCCTTGGATGCGGACATGGTGATGACCAGCAAGTGTTTCTTTATTATATTATCTTGCCATGGATCTGAATTATCTTAGTTTGATTCTGCAATTAACTTGAAATGTCTTCGCCTTCTATGTAATTTTTTTGCCAGGTTATGGAGTTATCCCAACCATCATCAGTACAAGTGGAGGAAATAATCCACCAGCTTGTTCAAAATATACTGCAAAGGTACTTTAAGGATGACCTTATGAGAGATTCAGGGATGGTAAACACAGGAAATCATCAAGATGCTGCCGATGAAAATTGTGGCACTGTTGGCACTTCCCGTGATTACCTTGCAAAGCTGCTTTTCTGGTATGGTGTTTTCTATTTTATTAATCAATGCTCTTGCTTTTTACAAGCTAGTTCCAAATGTTTAGGTGGTTACAATAGGCTTTTCTTGCAGTCAAAGACCGTGCTAATGCACATACATGCCTATAGCCATATGCATGCACCTTGTAGTTGTTGAGGTGAAGGATGAATAAGAAAAAAAATCTATGGGGCTGTTTGATTTGAAAGAGATTCCTGGTTTTCATTCATAACATAACTGAAAACTCAACAAATTATTGTTTCGAATAAAAGAGATTGATAACCGCTCCTCTGTTATAATATATCAAATGTACCACTTTTCTTCCCCTTTCGATTTCTTCTTTTCTTTTGTGTTTTCTCCCATCATTGTATTTGCGTTACAAATTGTAACATTAAGATTGGCTTTTCTTCTGGCAGGTGCATGCTAATGGGCCATCATTTGAGAGGCTTGGAAAACAGGTTGCATCTAAGTTGTGTTGTTGGATTATTGTAAAGTAAGAATTATGACAAATGTATATAATTTTCCTTTTTGGCCCGGTGTTTTTTTGGTTAATCCGATAATATACATTCTTTTCCATTAAAGCAATTAATGATTATGACATCAATTTTCTTCAGCATGCTTTCACAGAAATATTGATTCATTATGAGAACCTTTTGAAAAATCTTTGATGAAGTAACCAACCTATTTGCAGTTGTGTCGCTGAGTACTGTCCCTAATATCAAACCCTATTCATTTGAAATTGTTTCTCCCCATATATCATCTACATCGCATTGTGAACCCAGGCATGAACGTTTGCATGTTTATCTCAAATTCTTTGCCTATCTGGGGCAGGCAGCGATGGATGCTTTGTTTGATGTTTGTATTCAAAGTTTCAATATAATGAGTCCCTTCAATTCCTTTTCTGAAAAGGATTATAGAAGTAATGCTGCATACTTATAACAATCCTATGCTCTTCAGTAGGTTTGTTTGACAGAAGTTTGAATTTGAAATACAAGAACAGGCAAAAAAAAGCCCCTAAAAGATATCGGGCTTGTGGAATTGGTAACTCCATTGGATGAGCAAGAAAAGAGGGAAGCTTCAAATTGTGTAGTTTATGGTGCTTCATGGATTCCCGAATGGTAGAGTAAAAACTGAGAAATGAAGAAAATATAAAGAGGGGAATTCCAGGAGTTTGATTGCATAATTTTGTTTCATCAGATTCTTTATACTATCTACCTCACGACCATTGGAAATTTCAATGGAATCTACCATCAGGTTTTTAAAATATAGAATTACTCAAAGTAACCAAAATGGTTTGCAAAAAAAAAAAAAAAAAAAAAACCCTTGATACAAGAACTGAAACAATATTCCGCAGCTTCTTTTGTGTCTATTTACACAACCAAAAATGAAAACTTAAGGTTAACAAAAAATAATAGAAATGGACTGAAATGAGGTGAAAGATGTAGAAATAAATCACAAAGAATCAGACGCAAATCTAGGCAATTCTTGCTGTTGTTGTTTGTTGCTGTTGGTGAGGATATTCCCGAAACTTGTACAGATCGTACGGTGCCCAAAGGAAATCAACTGGGCAAGGTCTATCTGCATCTAGCCTTACCCATGGCTTCCCTTTACCACGCCAATGCAGCAAACTTTCAGGACCTGGATGCAAAGGTCTGCAACTTTTCACCAAATTATCTCCACCAAGCTCATGTTGGTTCCATCTATGATCAATGGCCTCAACATCTCCACCAAAAACCAACAAAAATGTTGGAAGAGAACCCAACTCATAAATCCTTCTCTCTTTCTGAATTCTCATCCATCTCTCAATCTTCCTTTTGTAGTCACCCTCTCTCCACCTTACCAAATCCAACACCATCACACCTGTATTGAAATAACAAGGCTTTTTCCCTTCAAAAACCCTGGATAACTTTGGGTCTAACCAGAACTCACTTGTGAAATACTTGGCAAAATTTGCATGACAGTATTCTGGTGCTCCAATGGTTTTTGATCCAGTCAAAGTTATACTCCATAGCTATTGGATGTCATCTACAACAATGGTATCAGAATCTAAGTAGATCACACGTTCAATGCAGGCCTCAAGTATATCAGCTAAGTAACTTCTTGCATAATTTAGAGGGTTGTCGAGCTTGGCGGATATAAGATGAGATAAGATTCCTGACAAGAATTTCCTGGAAGATATAAACCTCGAAACTCAAAGACGGAAATGCAGACTTCACAATTCTATTAAGGTCATTTACGTTAACCAAGCTTGAATGCGGGGCAATGAAGTGAAGGAACACATTTTCAGGACAAGAACCATCCTTGAGAACTGAATGGATTGCTGCTATGGTACCTCTCAGATACTCAGTATCAATTGTCATTGCAATATGAACAATGGAAGGGTCACCAAACTTTCTTTAGCCAAAACAGGACAATCGGGACCATTCTGATACTCTGGGGCCTCCAAGAACTTCATGAACAAATCTGATCCTATTTCTGTTTCATCCCCACATCTACTTGTCACGTTTTCTGTAAACAACCTGATTGCATTTAAAGGGAAAAGAAGCAAAGAAGACAAGAAAAAAATTCCAAAAACTGGCCTTAATATAATCATGATATCCAAATATGAAAGCAAAGTAGGAACTGGGTTTTTGTTCTAGTTTCTTATGAACTATGTCTTGGAGAACTATTGCTCCAAATGAAACTGAAATGAAGAGACAAAAAAAAGTAGGTAATTATATGAAGATAAGAAGATTGAAAGATCGACCCAGATTCAGAAAAGTCCAAACAAGTCTGCTTTTCCAAAGAGGGACGCGGCTACGAATATGCACAACATAGCAAGGAAAATGGATTTCTTTTGTCTTTTTTTACTTTCCAAAGACAGAAAAGACATTGATGGATTTAAGCTTTAAATTATTTGTACAAAGTTTTTCCAAGTGTGCACAGTCACCTAGACAGACGTGAATATCTACAGGCTTTCAACTATTTTTTTCCTTTGGGTGTTCTATTTTGAAAATTCCCATCATAATTCACATGACAAAATAATTTTCTTTGACCAATAGAAGATATATCCTTTATTCTCCTTTTCTTTCCTTGCCAAAGAAAAGTATTTCATACATTTCTTGGATTATTCTTAACCAACCTCAGTCCTTTTGGAAAGGAAATTGAACTGTTTAGGAACTATGTTGATGGCTCCCGACGGTTGGAAGAGTCTAAGAAAGCAGAGCAGGCGACAAGAGGGGTATACAGCGAAGGGCAATTCAACTTTTTTGTTAGTGAAGGATTCTTTGTTTTATCCTATATTTTTTTTCTTGGTTGATTTAAGTAAATTTATTTATATCAAATCTAACCAATTTATGAAAAAAAAATACTTTTTAATAATCTCTCAATGATTCCAATTCAAAACAACAAAAAAAAATCTTTCTTGCTACTTGAGTCAACATCAATAGAAAATTCAACCATGCATTAGCTCCCTGCTAGCAAGCCAAAACTAGAATTTTTGCAGGACCAGCTTTAACTATTTTAGTGACTCTAAATTTGAGTTTAGACACCCAGACATGGGTTTGGACAAGTAAAACAATGAAGAAGGTTATCTTTGTTAATATTATCGTCTAAAGAAATTAGCACTTAGACTTACCAGTTGTCACTGTTTGCTTAGAGGGTTTGAGATCCCGCATATTGTATTTGAGTCTGCCAATGTGATAATCCATGTGATAATCCAACAGTTGGTTTTGAAACTTTCAGCTTCTAAATCTTAACTTATATTGAAGCTCCTTAGGCTTCATTTGAATACGTGATGAAAGTCCTGACCAAAACCTACATTTTATGATTGGACCATTTGAGATTATTCTTTTTGTATATCTTAAGGCTTGATGTCTTCATATGTACTTTTCCACTTTTACAACAAGGAAAGAAAAACATATCAGCTTGGATTCATAATCTTATACAAACCTCACAATTGTTCATGATTAAATAGTTAGTTCATATCAAATTCAGAGATGCAGCCAATGCAAGTGATGTGGGAAAGGAGAGAGATAACAAGAGCAATGCAATCTATATGGAAGAATCCTTATCAACAGTCAATAAAGGGAGAATTTGATTTTATCAATAAAATGGACATAAAGCAGCCTGACATGGAGGGATTACAGCAAAGTTTTTATCCTTCTTTGAGTATTTATAGGATAAAGTGAGATGGTACCATTTCAGACTAAACAAATGAAAGAAAGAAACTGCAAATGAATATATACCGTAGTAAGTGTGAAAAGGGGAAGAGTAGAAACTGCAGGAGATGGTACCTTTCATCAAGCCAAGCCATTAGTAATCAGGGCGATTGCAAACACAGTTCAGCCCTCCAGTCTGATATCTTAACCTGTAAAGTCTCTGTCTATACATTACATGTATTAATCACAAGAAATGCCATGATTATCGATTCGTGAATGCAGCTCAGAATGTTAGTTTATCAAGTAGCACTATAGCAGATGCATGCGGTTTCTCCACTTTGGGCGAAAGGAATCTAAGGGTCAGTAAATGATAATTCAAAGGGGGAGAAAAACCCAAAAGCATGCTTTACAAGGAAGATAGAGCAGCGGGTTGACATCCAAGTAACAACTAACAAAGGACATCTGAATAAAGCGCCAAAGTCCTTTTGACTCTTTACGGTAAAAAATCCAATATACATATGGAACACATTAAAAAAAATACAATAAAAACAAGGGAAAGAAAAACAATACATACTGTATGAACCAGAAGGCGAGCAATGGCGAGCACAGAAAGTAATGGATTGTACGAAATTATCATAAAACTAAGATCACCAACCAGAGTACTCAGATTCAGATACCGATATCTATTTCTTACACTTAAGTTTGCAAACATTATGCAAGCAGGAATGAAACTAATCATTGGTTTAGTCCAGTTTTAGGAGGAAAAAACAGGCGAGTTGAAAAAGAAGCTCTCCTCCTTTGCTCTAGGACTCATTCTACAAGAAAGGCGAGTTGAAAATGCAGCCTCATCTAGTGAAACATATATTCCTGTTACTGATATCATAATGTTTCCTGCATCCAGGATATTGCACATCTACTTCAGGAATCCTTTTGTGACAGAAGAGGCAAAGCTGAAATCCGCATGAACAGTAGATAGGGCATGAAGAAGGGTCAGACATAGTACTTCCTTCTGCCCAGGTGATAGCCCCATGACCATTATGCCAATCTGAATTCAAAGAAATATTATGCTGTTGTGATAGGCTGGGGGACTTCGACGACGAAAAGTAATGTCAGGTCTCCATGCTGGACAATTCCTGTTTAAACCACAAACTGTTCACCCACTCTCTGAATTCGACTGATTTATTCCTTGGTCCTTGATCTGTTGGTCAGCACCAGATTCAACCCTAGTTTCAGATTTGGCAGGAGAGCGCATGGCTGAGTGATGTTGATTGTCATCTGCAATCTAGGCATCTGCAACCTCCTCCCAATTGTCTAGGAACCCATCCTCTTCTTCCTCACTGACACTTCCACAACAAGAACTGCTAGTCCACTGCAGCTACTCCCAGTGCTACTGCCACTGCAGCTACTCCCAGTAAGAGCTTCCTTTGAAATGCTTTGAATGGGGCTGTTCATCAAGGACTCCAAATCACTGTCATGGATGCTTAACTCCTCTTCCGTCAACTTTGTTACCAAATTGTGCAACGATTTGCTTTGGTCATCAGCTCTTTTTATGGATAATGAAGGAGACTCAGCACTCCCATTCAAATCCACTTTGCAGTCCTTGTTCTTTACTGCATTACAACCCGACTCCATTATGAACAAAGGAATTCATGAAAATGTAGTAACTTTGTAAATGTTTTCCGAGCTGATAGCACAAGCCATCTTATCAAACCTTTTTCTTCCAATAAATAAATCATAAATGAGATAAAAATCCCTTCTGTCAAATAAATATCCTAAATCCTACCTATCAAACTGATCTTGGATTGAGAGCCTTGTGCTTTGATCACAAGTCTCTTCCTATTGTTCTTCTATATATGTATTGCTATGCAGCATGCACATCCATCACTACTTCAAATACTACAAAATTTCAAAAAAAAAAAAAAAAGAAGGTTTTTTTCCAGTTTTTTTCTTTTGAAAAACAAAATTCATTAAAACTAAGTCAATTAATTGCATTATGGGTTATGGTTTATAAAAAAAAATCCCTAACAAAAAATTATTCCAATTTATTTTTTAAAAAATTCAATTAAGATAATTTCTTTACCTTCAAAAACTCACATTCAAAAAAAAATAAATATAATTGAAATCAAAGGAAAAAAAAAAGAGATTACCTTCAAAATAAACACTATCAATGAATAATGAATTATATGATGTCACTTCTACAATGATAATTCATTAATAATATATAAAATCTATACACTATACATCAAATATAAACTTAATCTTTTAATTCAACAAACAAAGTTGAAAAAAATCCTTATATCTTAATTTATTATTTAATATATTATTTTTTTATCGTACCTTAAAAACATATATATTTGGCTACAATACACTTCCCTAATCTCATTTTATTAGTTCATTTTTCTTTTTGCAAATGTCTTCAAATTATATCTTTTTAGATACATAAATGTCTTTTGTTAATATTCTAAAATTATTTTTTATGATTTTTTTTTTACTTTTTATCATTATAAATTATGAAATTTCAAATTTATGAAAAAAATTTTTAAAAAATCCATGAAAACCAATTGAAAACTAATATCATGGGACATGGGATAGAAGAGGTAATAAATTGTCATTTGTCAAACAGCTGATATACAATCGAGAGAGAGCGTGGGTGAGAGGGAACTTTTCAGTTAATTAAAATCCTACTTCAAAGTCGTTACAGTCAGGAAGCTCCACCATGAGCTAAGATGAGCAGATTGGAAGCAGAAGCCGGGAAAAGTGGGGGGAAAATAAAACATGTGGCCCCTGTAAATAAGAAAAACTAATAAACAGGAGAAACAACAAAAAAAAACTTTCTTTTTTAACAAAATATCATGCAATCCTATTTACACAATAATGGCTCAGATCCCGCTTCTTACAAATATGCTACATTTCTTAATCATTCTTCCTTTCTTCAGTGCTAGTATGGCCAACTACATTCAACTATGAACATACAAGAAACATGTCTCCGGTTTCCAAAGCCTTTAGAGGTTTGGTTGCACAACCAAGGGCTTCTGCAAGAAAAAAAGTGAGGGTTATTGCCGTCTCCGAAAACTCTCAAACAAAAAGTAATTTAAATGGTTATGAAGATTTTACCTTTTGTGCCAGTCTGAGAGAAAGAATGCTAAATTATTGTGACGCGGATAAAAATCTCTGAAACCGTTGTGCTCTTGCCTGATTATTATATGAAGATTTGGGTTGTCGTGAATTTCTTCTCCTACGAAAGAAGAAATCTTCGGTGTCCAACACATAAGAAATCTGCCGACATATAATACACAGATCATAAGTAGAGAAAAGACCCAAGGTAAGCAAACATTACGTGCAAAAGCAATTTCTTAGTGCTACACATGCTGTGCTTCCATAGTCCATAATATGCCATGTAGGAAAGAACGGTAAAGATTAAACCAGATATTAAAAACAGCGAGATACCTTGTATGAGTTGCAAGCTATCTTGTTCTCTAAACCATTAACCAGTTCAACACCTTCCATGGCCATACAAGTAGCAGCAAATTCATCTAGAGTTGCATAACTCTTCTTGTTTCTGCAAATATCAGTAAAGAAAAGCAAATCAAGAATTAGTTGTTTCATGGCATTTCCAAATCTTTCCTTTGCTACAATCATCTATAATAATAATAACACGAGGTTGGCAGAACCTAGCATTTACATGCTACATTTTATTTTAACGCCAGATAAAAGTTAATTGCAGAACTAGGGAACCTAAGTAATTCTAATGTTATCAGTTATTACCTCTTTAGTGTAATGCCATGTGGCTCCTTTTTGCCAGGAAAGACTGAAAGAAAATCATTGTGCAAAAAAGCTGAAAAATTAGGTTCCATGGAAACAGCAAATGCCTCAGGCTTTTCAATGACATTGTCCATCAGCTGCATAGACAACCTGGATGGAGAAGATGACTGCAAAAAAAGCCCAGACAAAAAAATTATGTAAACATACATACAGAGAGACAGAAGGATGGTAGGGCATTCATGTGCCTTATTATGTTCGTTTACTCTTTTTCTGGAAAGAGGTCATAGTAGAGAGACATGCAAACTTACACATTTCAATCGATATATATTCTCCTCTTGAAGGAGGACACGTGCATTCTCATAATACACTGAATCCATTGTCTTCCCATGTTTCCGGGATTTTTCATACTCAAACAATTGGAGAAGCTTATTATCCATCTCATCTGCTGCAACAGCTTGAAGCTGCAATGAAAACTATAATTCAGAACAGTTGCAGGAAAAATGTGTAAGAAGTAATGAAAGCCGATCAAAGAAAGCAAACCTGCTTAACCAATTTATATATTAACTTGTCCAATGTGAATAACACATATGACTGGTTTCCTATTATAGCTCGACATTCATCCTCAAACTTCGCATTATCGGCAGATCCATCAAGCAGACTGTATAGTGCACTCATAAATCTGTGTAGTACCAGAGATGAAGTTTTCCAAATTAGAATGCATCAGACCCTACATATTGTTCAGCAATAAAATTTATATGTAAACTACCTGGCATATAAATCTGAAGGACTAGCATCTTTTGAATTTTTCCACCTTATTTCAGAACCCGTTGAATTTGTTTTCGCTGACACTATTCTTTCATATAGAATCTAAATGAAAATCAAAGATCAAAGAATACTTATTAGAATATAGACGGAAAAATTAGAAGAAATTACTAAAAAGATTTAGAAGTCCTACATACTTGATGAAGTCTGAAAAGAACGTAGAAATCATCATTTGCATAAAAAACCCAAGAACTGTTTCTATCTTCCTCAGGTAAAACTGCAGGTACATGCTTTGCAAGGGGCTTCACTGTAAAAAGAAAACGTTCTGAAAATGACGAGGAAGTGCCATCTCCTCCCACATGTGTATCAGCCATCCCTTCGGCCTCACCTTCACTCTCAGCTTTACCATCAACTTCATCACGGTCTACCTCTTCCTCCTCTTCATGCTCTTCACGAAAGCATTCATCACCTGCAGACTCGCTGCCTGATGCATCATCACCAGCCTCTGAGGCATTTTCACTATCCTCATCATCAGCATCTGCATCATTTTCTCCTCCAGGATCTTCATAATGCAACTCTTTCCCATTTCCAGAACAGTAGTGTCTGTTTTCAACTCCGTGCTTTGCCTTTGGCATAGCCTTTAGACCAGTATCACCATACGCAACAAAACTATCCTCCTCAAAATCACCATTAGGTGATAATTCACCTTCTTCTTTTTCAATTTTGATGGGACCAGCAGATTCTTCATGATATCTACTAGCATTTGAGCTATCTGTAGGCACTCCATTTACTAATAAAGCATGTTTTGTTACATCACCACCCTGAAGTACCAAGTAAATTTGTATAAGCATATTACAACAAAAAACCAAAGAGAGGACCTCTTTGCTTTTCCACCTCAACAAGGAGGAGGTGAACAGAATAACCAAGGAAGCAAGACCAAAAGATGTAAAGTATAGCTACATTTTACCAAAACCAATTAGTGCTATCAGCTTCAGCCATGCTAAGTAGAATACAGTAGTTGGTATGCATAAATTCATACCTCTGATGAATGGACAAAATCAGCATTAGCTTCAGGTTCATGGTCCTCACCAGCAGCAACGCTAGGTCTAGATGCAGCTGCACCACCCCCTTGAAATTCAAACTAATCTCAGTATTGCAACATGATTTTGGAAAGGAAGGAATAATAAGAATATCTAACGTCATAACAGAACAAGATCAATGAACAAGAAAATCATTGACATGATTGTCATGTAGCGTTTTCTAACAAACCTGATGCCTCTTCAACATTGTTGCTGTCGTGATTATTTTCTGCTTCAAATGCAAGGGCTCCAATTCCAATTGCAAGCATGTTAATTCCAGGCCTTTTATCAGATATAAATTTGATCTCTTTCTCTAGCATTGAATCATCTCTAGAGACACGACCTGAGTGTTCTTCTTTGGCTAAAGCTTCCCCATTTGTCAACCCATTTCTGCAAGAATTAGTTAGTTCTGGTGAACTGTTCTCGTCCCCATCACTGGCAGCCTTTTGTTGCGAATTAACAGCAGCGTCCGCTCCAGGACTTCCATCACTTTCAGCAATGTTTGATGCAGTGCAGTTTACAGCAGGATTCTGAGCTTTACCATTATCATCAGTACCCTCTCTGGCATTAGGTCGAGGAGGAACACCCAACATTGGCTCCAAGAAAGTGGTCCAAAGCCTCATGACTTTATTTAACTGTTCTTTGGTCAAGCACATCTCTTCACATGAATATTCTATAAGTTTATATAGGTCTTCATGAATGTCAACATCCAAATATTCATATTCAAGGTGTGGAGCTAGGGGTTGTCTGTGACCAGCAATGCTAGCAACAAGAACATCATCCTCTTTCTGGTTCTTTTCTTTCAACTCCTTGATTTCAGCCACTAAAGCTGCAATTAGAAATAAGAATCAATAAGACTAGACAAACCAAGTAATGAGAATATAGAAGAGCATAGAAATGAACAGCCTATCCTCAAGAGACCACAGAATACCATGCAACCATATTTTCAGAATCTAACAAACTTCTGGACTCAGTACAAATGAAAATAGTCCCTCAATCCTTCAGCCGGATAGTAAAACATTCAAAAGATCAGTATTAAAGATGTAGTTAAATGGTTTCACCAATGGGTTCTAAATCTACTCAAAGACAAAATATTAGAACAAATTGTTATGAATCATCCATCAATCTTTAAAACAGATTTTGCAACTTTGGAAAATGCAGCATTTTGCCTCTTTGATATGGAAATTCCACTTACATTTTCCACTCAAGTTCTTCGAATCCTGCTGCTTGAAATAGAAGCTGCGGTGATCAAGTGATTTGTAATGGTTTTTCGTATAAATTTCAGCCCAAACCTTGTTAAAATCTAAACGGCACTTTGTCCACTCTTCTTGCTTCTGCTTCAGGCGAGTTAAAATGACAGGCAATGCAAGAGCAGGATTTTTACGTAATATTTCCATTACATCAAGACCATGGTCACCATATAAACGCTCAATGCACCTTAAATTTAAAACTGCAGTAAATGGTACAAAAGAAGCAAAAGTTAAAAAGATGAAAAATGTTCACATAGCAGAGAGTCACACATAATTTAATAATCTAGTAATAAATACAAACCAGTAAAGTGGTCGTCTACACGAACTGGATAATCCATACTGATTTTATTTTCATTAATGCTGTTCAGCAAGTCCTCAACACGCTTGGCAGTTGAGCTCACAGATTCTAACAACATGTCCAGCTCAAATCTAAGAAAATGAAACAAAAAGTCTGTTATGTCTAGAAGGGGATAATATATAGAATTTCCAAAGGTATACAAAAAATAACTAATCAGTGCACATTGATTTTTCTTCGCAAAACTCATTCTCACCATCACATGTGGCACATAAACTTGTAATGGGAGTAACAGAATGATCAAATTACAAAAGAGAGAGAAAAATAATCACTATATTGATTACACACAAGGTACCGGGACATATAGAGGAAGACCAGTAAATTTTACCTATCATCCTCACATCTGAACAAACTCTCTTCATACTGATTTCTGCGCATGTGCTTAAAAGAATAATCCTCACTTCCTGAAGTCACAGATACCCAATGATCATTCAGCACTTGAGCACCAAGCTCTGATCTCTGACTTGCTGAAGGTATTGGATACTGACAGACAAACACCATACAATGTCAAAATCAGTACCAAATCATGCATAATTTGCAAGTGAAAAAAATAATCAAAAGTTTATACATCATCAGGCAGAAGCCGATAGCTTGGAGTACAACGCTGGCAGTTAGAAAGGTCAAGCTCCTGTATGGATTTTGCCATATACTTCTCCCTGAATCTCTCCTTTTCCTTAGCTCCCTCCATTTCACGTTTCTGCTCTCTATCTTTTTCCTCTAACTTGAATGGCCTGGATGCATGTCCATCACCACTAAGTGATTCTGCAAACAAGAGATAAAAATCAATGCAGTTTACAGATACATGTATAAGAAAATACTTTGCATCATACAAGAATAAACTATGTACACACAAGGTTATGGCAAATTAGAAAACAGCCAAGAAAAATAAGAAAATGTATACCAAAATGACAAAGAAAATGAGGCTATCAGTTACATACTCTTACTAATAACACCAGCAAGGAGCCCATCTGCAGGAGAAATTTAGATTAGAAAGAACCATAAGGATAAAAATTAAAAATGAAACAACTGAAAAAGGAAACTTCAGCAGTTACCAGCATTCTCACAGCGCTCCAAGAACTGATTGAACTCATTCATAAGATCTGAATACTTGCCAAGTAAATCAGTCACCTGAAAAAGGCAGAACGCAAGGTAACATATGATTAAACTACCAGCAAAGGTAGAAGGTGAGACATGTGCTTCTTGATAATTCTACAAAGATAAGTAGATCGAATGATTTGGAAAGTCAAAGATAACTGCTAGAGATGTTGTAAAACTTACCAAATTTTGCAAATCATTTCTTTTGATTATTCCATTGCTATAAATATGAAGGCACTTTAAGAATGCCTGGTAGTCATCTGAGTTGCATAGCCTCTCCTTAACTTTCTCACAGAATATGAATCCTTGGTTGCACATGCCTGAGATTTGAGTAGAAAAACCTAAAACTTAAAAGGTTGATATGCAAAGGACAAGAATATGTACATTAACCTCAATCTCGTTACACAAGCAAGGCAAAATATTTGAAAACTTCAAAAGACAGGCTGAAAAGGCTCATTAACAACCATTTTGGAAAACAAATTCAAAGGACTACCAAAAATTTTTCCCTCAGGTTAAAAAATAGATGCCATTTACCTACATTATGATTACACCGCAGCAGAGCACATAAAACAAAATATTAAGAGGTGAGTTTGCTAAGAGCATCAATATGCAAACTCATGATAGATAAGCTAACCTAATATTGCTTCTCCCAGACACCGATCACTTCAAAATCACAGGTTACATATATCATATACCTAAACAGCTTCCTTATGGTCAAAGCCATCATCGAAAATTGCAACCAAGGATGATGTAAGCATATCTCACATCTGCATCTATGCATAAATAAAACTACAAGCTGATTCGCACCAGTAAATGACACTAATGGTTGATGGAGAAAAGCATTTAGAAGAATTTATTAAGACTACTTTATTAGCAATTTATAGCAAAAGAACAACAGAATTGTCACCCTAACCACTATAAAGAAAACTATATAACTATAATAAGTTAAAAAAAAAAAAAAAGTAAAAGTGATACCTTGCATATTATAAACAAAAAAATAGTTGTCAAAAAGGTTGACTGACTCACTTTTTAAAGTATCCCTATCATCATAAGAAGCAAATCCTTCAATCTTCCTTCCAGATCTCTTTTTGTCAGGAAAACGCTGCAAGTTAAAATCCCTATTGTTGTCATGCTCAAGATCATCCTGATCACGAGTTCTCCGATCCCTATTTTCCTTTTCCATGCGTTTTCTCTGCTCCTTTTGCGTTTTCACCATAGCTTTGTCGTCGTCTAGGTCAGGACGATCAACACTGAGATCCCGATCAGCATGGGAGGTAATAATCCTATCCCTCCGACGTTGCTGAAAAAAAAGATAATCATTATTTCATATAAAAAAAAAATTAAAAAAGCAAGAAACAAGAAAAATAATCATAAAAAATAGAAAGAAACAAGAAAATAAATATTAAAAAAAAGAACAGTTACCTTGTCCATTTGTATATGCCGCAAGGTGGGTGTAGCAGAGCTTCGCTCATTATAACGCTGAGTTGAGTTTCGATCATATGGAACTTGTTGTGTCAAAGGTGCTGCTGATGAATCTGGTAAAAATCTAGTGAACTCCTCAAGCAGATCTGGATGGTCCTCAAAAAGAGAAGCAACCTGATAGCAATGAAACAAAAAAAGGTAATGGTTTCTGAAAAAAAAAAAAAAAAGTTTCCAAGAGATTAAGATTCAGCAAGTACCAAAGAGCCAATGAACACAGGTAACAATCCAAATAAGAAATTACCTCACTGTAGACCTCATTTATGTCCTTGTGCTCCTTCCGGTACATATTCAAGATATCCAGGAATGATTTATAAACATGCTCATCATTTTGGAAACGTTTCTGCATAGTAAAATGGATAATTAGATGGCTAAACATGGACATTGGTAAGGCGAAAGATTACACCACAATGATTTCACCTTTATTTTGTTTACAAAACTGATTGCTTCTTCAAATTCAACAGTCTTTTTTGGAGGAGCCTCATCCTCATCAAGGGTTATTTCATATCCCTTTGGCAGGAAGGTATTAAATCCATAAATCAAGTTGTTATGCCCTTTGAATAATTCCTTCACTCGGGCAATGACACCAACTGTGTCAGTCCTGCAGAAGAGAAAAGACTTATTGAACATTTAGTAGTTTAAAGCTCGAATCCATTGTTTATTGACAAAAAGTTGCCATTTCAAAAGGGGATACCTTTGAGCCTTAAAATCCTTCATGACTTCAAGGAACATGTCATACTTTTCCTTTTGATCCTGAAACATCTCCTTGACTTCCTTTAGATACGTTAAGGCATCATTTGTAGTCAGTTTCTGTGACATAGCTCCCCCCCCTGTTACTCCGCCTCCCCCTCCCCCTCCTCCTCCTCCTCCTCCACCTCCACCTCCACCTCCACCTCCACCTCCACCTCCACCTCCACCTCCACCTCCACCCGACATTTGGTTTTGCCCATAGCTTCATAGGTAGAAAACAATAAAAAAAAAAAATTCAGAACCACAACCATTTGACTAACACCAATCAAAAACTTTAAAATTCTGTGCTAAACCTAATTTACTTTCAACAGATGATAACTCTTAAAAAAACCTAAAGTTTTCATAAAATTAGAAGTAAATTTACGACATATTACAAAACCAAGTGATAAATCCTACTTAGAGCAATGATCCCAGAATCACAAAAACCAACATATAAGACAAACCATACCAAACAAACCCTCAAAACAAAGCAAGCAACTTTAAACAGATTAAAAAAAACAAAAAAAAAAAAAAAACAAAGCAAAGAAAAAAAAAATCTTACGATTCAGCCTTCACGGAACCAAATGGACGCTTAAATTGAGAACCAGAATATATATCATCCCGTATTCGCTTCATCCCTGTAAACTATAAAAAGTAAAATCCATCAGGAGCAATCTTTGAAGAAATAAAAAGAAACCCATTTTAAGAATTGGCTTAAAGAAACTTACTTTACTCTGTAACAGATCTTAGAGGAGGGAAAGACAGAAAAACCAAACCAGTTATTTTTTTCGGATCCTTTGTGTTTAGTTTGTTTTTTAGGTTGGTTATATAAAAGAGAAAAAAAAATTCAAAGATATACAAGAGCGATAAAAGAGGTAAAAGAGAGAATATATGGTACGTCAGAGTCCAAATTTGAATAAAAAAATTAAAAATGTTTTTCAAAAACTGGTGAAGGCATGAGAGATGTCTTATGTTTGGGCTTTTTAACGAGTTTGTAACTAGTGTTTTAAATTTGGAAACACCTTTTGAGTTTTATGTTTTGGTTTTTTTGTCGGCTTTTTTTTTTCAAATTTAATCCTAAAATTTTTTAACCGTAATTTAAAAAATATAAATTCTCGTAATAAAATTTAAATTTATATAATATTATTTTTAAGAGTGATTATATAAATTAATTAAATTAAATTACAAACTAAACTTAAATAATTTTTTTTTTTTATGTTTGTTTTGAGTTGATTTAGAGATGGTTTGGTTAATGAAAATGGAATTGACTTTCATGAATTAAGATTTTGAGAAAGGTTGACCCGATATAATCTCCAAGTTTTATTTTTTTGTGAAAATATATGTTTAAAAATAAAATTTTTTTCAATTTTATATTTTATTTAATATGTGTTACTTGAATTAGTACATTTTTATAAATTTATAATAATAAAATTATAAAATTTAAAATATATATTTTTTAATTTATATAAATTCATTACAACTGCTTATTAGATAATATGATATTTGAATTTTAGTTATTAGATTTGTAACTATTTACAATATTTTATTTGAATTTTATTAATTCAAATTTTACATATTAACTATTTATATATAAAGCTTTTTAAATTTTTTTAAGTGTGATTATATAAAACTAATTATATTAGAAAACACTTATATAAAGTTTTTTAAATAAAATTTACGTAGTTTTGTATTAAAAATAATTTAATAAAAATTAAAAATCAAAAATCAAAATCATGAATTGATAAAGTTTAATGATAAGATCAATAACATGTAAAAAAATTATTAAAATATCATTTACAATTTAAATTTGATGAGTACTTATTTGATGATAAAAATTCTTTTAAAATTTTTACTAAAATTACATATCTAAAAAATATATCAAAATTTACAATTTTTTTAAAAAAATTTTGCATACTTAATTTATGCAATAAAAATTTTCAATCTATCTATTTTAATTTTTAATTTTAATAAATCATTATTAATAAAAAAATTTCACAAATTTCAATTAAAAAACTTCACTTAAGTATTTTCCATTAAATTAAATACTTTAACCAATTTCATATCAAAAGTTATTTTCAACAATAAGTAATTGACAATTACCCATTTTTTATAAAATAACAAAACATAATTGTTTGGTTTTTTTTTTTTTTTAGATTTAATATCATTTTTTTTTTGTATTTGAATTTGTGAAGATTTAAAATTATTAAAATTAAAAATTATCAACAAAGAATTGATAAAAGCCTATTGTTTTCTTTGACAGCACATCTATAATTGACAACAAGACAATGAAATTGTCTAATCTGTTGGTCTAATTAGGATTAGATTTAGAGATTACCAATTTAATAAAAAAAAAACTTTTTTTTTTTTTAATTTGGTTAGGTAAACTGTGCAATTTCTAAGATTTTGAATTAGAACTGAGACACCAATACAAATATGGTGGCTCAATTTAGTCAACAATTAACAACTTCGAAAACGTTTGTAGTTATTAATGTTGGGTTTTCTTTGTTGTTGTTCGATAATTTAGAAATGATGAAGAAAAATTTTCCGTATTTTCCCTTCTATTATGGTAATTACAATCAAAAAATTATTTTTTTTTAGAAATAATAAAATTCTAACATGACCAACCAATATGAAGTATAGCTATATATAAATTTTTTGTGTATTTATGTCATATTCATATCCACACTTTAAAATTTTTAACATATTAAAATATGTATTAAATTTGACTGGATACGCTAAAAAAAAAAAAATTAATTCTCATGTGAGTAATGATACCTATGTTCTTTTATTTTTATCTATCATCAATTTTTTTTTTATAAAAATAATTATCTTTTAAAACTTTAAACTAATATCTGTTATATATTCTTAATTGATGATTATAATAAATAAAATTAATTTTTTATAATTATATCTTATAGTATTTTTATCTTATTTTTAAAAAATTATAATGACATAGTGATTATATCATATTTTACTTATATTATATGTTGGTATAGTGCTTCATAAGATAATAGTTTGTTTAATCATTATATAAATGGAACCCTAAACCATCCCTGTTGAAGCAGTAAAGGTACCTTTTATCTACTAATTAAATGTTGATATAGATGATTTGAAGTGTTAAGGGTTTTTTTCCTTTTCTTGTTATATTCTTTAATACATTTCAAACAATGGGTTTTCTCTTAAATTATTGGATCATTTCTTGGAAGGAAAATTGGTTCAAGAATCTTATATTCTCTCTCTTTTTTTCTTTTTTTATTTTTAATTTGAGGACATGAACAAGACAAGCTTATTCAGTTGCTATCTTTCTCATCCCTTGCTTTGGAAAAGCTTAAATTGTATTGTATTAGCCAGCATCTTTGTCAGAAATTATTATTATTTTTTTAGAAAATTTTTTATACATAACAGTGGAGGGTTTTTTTTTAAAAAAAAAAAAAAAACTTTGGAATTAAAAAACTAACACATATATATTTGATAATTTCTCCTTCTTTATTGCTGAATCATGCATATTATGACTTCAAATTAAAGTCTGATTTCACCATGTTATTTGACAGATAAAATCTCTTTCAGTCTTGGATGTTTGCTTTTGAGTACTCTGGGTCAGTTGTATGATCAGAGATTCATGTTGTTGTTCAAGATGTTGTCAACTTCAAATCCACGCATTTGTTTGATTAAATGATATAATAGATGATACACAAATATGATGTCTCTTCAGTGATGATTTTCATGGTATCAAAAGTTGTTGACTCGATTTTTCATCTAAAAATACACACAACTTATTCGAATGACTGAGTAGAATGATTAACCAAAGAGTAGTAAGCTCCGGTTGGCCCCTTGGCCAACAAAGATGAATGGTTACCTTTCTCCACCACCTTCCCTTTGTCTAAGACAGCAATAAGATCGCAGTTTTGAATGGTAGTTAGCCTATGTGCCACAACCACACTAGTCCTCCCCACCATCACTCGCTCCAATGCCTCTTGCACCACTTTCTCTGATTTACTGTCAAGTGCACTGGTTGCTTCATCTAACAATAACATTGTTGGATTCTTCAATATGGCTCGGGCTATGGCGATCCGTTGCTTCTGGCCCCCAGATAGCTGCACACCTCTGTCTCCACACCAGGTATCATAACCATCTGCTAGGCCTGCAATGAAATCATGTGCATTGGCTGCTTTAGCTGCTTCAATGATTTCAGATTCATCAGTTTTATCAGATGCTCCATATAAAATGTTTTCCCTTATTGTGCCAGAAAATAGTGTTGGTTCTTGGCTAACAAGTGCTATGTGTTTCCTCAATGACCTTAGGTTGTATGACCTTATATCTCGACCATCAATCTTCACTACCCCTTTGAGAGGATCGTAAAATCTCTCAATTAAACTAATGATTGTTGATTTACCACATCCACTTTGTCCCACCAATGCTGTTGATTTCCCAGCTTCAATGGTGATTGAGAAGTCTTTCAAGATGATCACATCAGGCCTAGCCGGATATGCAAAATCGATGTCACAAATTTCCACATGTCCTGTAATTTCTTTGGGAAGGTAACCATTAGAGTCATCAGGTTCAATTCTTGTGCAGCGGTCTAATATAGCAAACAAAGATTCAACAACCTCAGCGCTCTTGGCCAAGTCTGATGTCATGCTTGCAGCTTCAGCAATGACAAGGCCGGTGCTAACCAAAACGAGGAATGTTTCAATGAGGGCTTTTGCATTGATATATCCTTGAGATATGAGTTTGCCACCATACCAAAAATCAAAGGCCATAAGGCATGCAGTAAGCAATTGAGCTGATCCAAGTCCAAGACCTGCAAACCAAGATTGTCTAACATTCTCTTTTCTCGGGCCTTCGTGAGCCTTTTGCAGCATTTTCAGGATTCGGTCTTGAGACGAGAAGGAAGTAATGGTTCGGTGGTTGGAAACTGCCTCAGCAGCAAGCTTGCTGGTCTCTTGTTGTGCTTTGATGGCTTTCCTGGACATGCTTTTGAGTAAGGCCTTTTGAGTGTACATGCTGAGGATGATGAGGGGTTGGACTGCTATCATGACAACGGCAAGTCTCCAAGCAATGAATAGGCCCATGGCACAAGCTATAGTTACACCTGAGATGGTTTGCACAAGAAGAGATATTCCATCATCGACTAAAGATCTCACCTGCAAACATCCAAGATATATAGTTAGGCAAAGTCTGTAATCAAGCATGTTGAAAAGAGAACTCGTACTGATTTATAACTGGTAATCGAAAATTTCAGTCAATATCTTTCATCTTTGAATTTTTATTAACAATTTTTTCAGTTATGCAGTATGCTTTGAGATCAGATAGAGATATGATATTGCAAGGGATCATGCAGTTGATTCACATATGAATCATCATTAAACAAATCAAGTTATTCCTGTCTTGTTTTTAAGATTCACACAATCTATAGCCAGATGTTTAAACAAGGTTGCTACACGAAACAATTATAGGAACATGCTAACTCAACATGATTAACATAAAAAAGGTAAGAAAATGGAAAGAACATACCAGACTGGCATCTTTTGCTAGTCTAGCACAAACAGAGCCACTGGAATTCTCATCTTGGTCAAACCACCCAAGTTCATAAGTCAGTATCCTTGAAAGCATCATCTCTCTTATCCTCTTTGTCAAGTGCTCCCCCATGTAAGCAAAATTATAATGCTGAATAACATTAATTATCAGTGAAAACAAACAAAACCCAAGGAAACTCAAAGCATAAACCTTTGTCTTTTCTTTAATTTCATCATGATCCGCGAGAAAAAATATTGATATCATTGACCCCATTGTGAAAGCTGAAAGTGGTTGCACTGCACCAAATAAAATTGCACTTAAGTATCCCAGGGTAGCTTGTTTCCACTCTGGTAAATTCAAGGCCAACAATCTCCTGAAAGATGGTGCAGACAATTTTTGTTCCTCAACATTCATTTCTCCAGCTAGTGAAGCATGATTTGGTGCCATGGAGTTGGCTGAACTTGTCCTGCTGACTAAAGAAAGTCTACGACTGCTAGCAATATTGATTTCCATGTTAGTTATATAAGCTGAGGCATTCATATGTAAATCTTTGTTGCCTTTTTCCTGGGCTTGTTCTGTTTGTTGAAGTTGCACTAGCATGGGATAAAAGCCCTTTTCGTTTACCATTAATTCATCATGTGACCCGGTTTCCATGACGTGGCCATCTTGGACAACGGCAATTAAATCTGCATGTCTAATGGTAGAGAGGCGGTGGGCAATGATGATAGTCGTACGTCCAATGGAGGCCTTGTCAAGAGCTTCTTGCACAATACGTTCAGATTCAGAGTCTAATGCACTTGTTGCCTCATCAAGAAGGAGGATTTTGGGTGATTTGATTATGGCTCTTGCTATGGCAATTCTCTGTTTCTGTCCACCAGACATTTGAACCCCTCTTTCGCCAACCTGTTTATATATATATCTTAGAACATATATGATGCATAGCCTTGATCAAAATATACTAAGGTAATGACAGATAATGGACTGTGAAAAATGTTGCTATTCAATTCACAGGTTAACAGAAGTCAAAGGAACCCTTTTACTATTCTATCTAATTCCATACATAGGCTTGTTTGACTTAATTGTTTTAATTGATATATGAAGCATTCTACCGATTTCTGAGTAGGATAGCTTTCATAGGACTGCAGATTGTCATATAAATGCCAATAATGAAAAGTGTGTGCATTATAGTTGATATGCTTATAAAATCTAATAAATACAATATGCAGACAAACCTGGGTGTCATATCCTTGAGGCAACTGGGATATGAAATTATGGGCATTGGAAGCTTTAGCTGCTTCAATAACCTCTTCCATTCCAGCATCCTCCTTCCCAAAAAGTATGTTCTCTTTAATGGTTGTTGCAAAAAGTGTAGGCTCCTGACTCACCAACCCCATCTGTGACCTTAACCACTTGAGCTGCAATTTATTGATAGAAACCCCATCAAAAAGTATATCTCCTCCAAGTGGGTCATAAAACCTTTGCAACAATGAGATCACTGTGGATTTTCCTGATCCACTGCTACCCACCAAGGCCACAGTCTTTCCTGCTGGAATTTTGATACAAAAATTCTTGAATATTATGCTCTCAGGCCTTGAAGGGTATGCAAACTCAACTTGCTTGAATTCAACCTCCCCTAAAACTTTATCCAAAATCTCCCCTTCCATGTTGTCTAAATCAATCTTTGGGACTCTTTTTATCACTTCATTTATACGATCTGCAGCTGCACTTGCTTCGGATAAGGGCTTCAGGTAAGATAAACTAGCACCAAGTCGTCTGTTCAATAAGATAAAAAATAAAGGAAAAGTTACATTAAAAATCTGAACGAAAAACTATGCATCAAATGGAAAAATGATTTATTGTCTCTATCTAAAATAGCATCAAAACTCTTACTGTCCACCAATAGCAATGCAGGTGCCCACTATGAAAATAGTTCCACCCTGAACTCCATGGTACATGACCATTCTGCTACCATAGTAAGTAACGAAAGCCCAAATAGCAAAACTAATGCCATTGCTGCCAATGGCCAAGCCTTTAGCCAACCCTTGCCTCAACCCTAACTTCACAGATCCTTGCAGAGTTGCAGAGAACTCGGTTGTGGTTTTGTTTTCACCAACAAAGGCATAAACAGTTCTTATAGAAGATACTGCCTGCTCAGCTACTGTGCTGGCTTTATTGTACTCCACCCTAATCTTCCTTGCAAGACTCAGTAAAATATTTCCATAAATTAAAGTAGGAACCACCAGCAACAGAAGAAAAGGAAAAACCACAAGAGCTAATTTCCATACTATCAGAAAAGCTGCTATGTATGTTCCAATAAATGTAGCACCTCTTGCTATTAAGTTTGGGACCTGATATATAATAAACAAGTCAATCAACTCACAACTTGAAGGAAAGTAGTTGTTTCTGCAAAGTAATCTTTTGTTTTAAAAGTTGAAGATTTAAAAATCATTTTAAATCACCATCTAGTAATGATGAGATCAGATCAATATTTTAGATGCATTGACAACCTTCTCACTGATAACTTCTTGAATTATCAGACTGTCATTGGAAACGCTTGTGACTACTTCAGCTGTGCTAGTTACATTCAAATCAAAGTAGCCTACATCTTGTCTTAGCACAGCTTTCAAATATCTAGTTCTCATTCTTGTGGCTTGTCTTTCACCTGTTCTTGTCCAACAATATCCTTCTGAAAAATTAAAAATTAGAGAGCAAAATGAGAATTAATATATGGTTAGTTCCCTTTACTCAGAATCACCTAGCTGGCAAACTAAGCTGTAGAACTTTTTTTTGATACAAAGGAGGCTGCAGCCTGGGGATATTGAATCCCAAACCTGCTGAATGCCACCTCTTAAGGATGACTACATAAATCAACTGAGATATACTCCCGGTTCAATAAGTCGTAGAACTTTTATTCACTTCAAACTCACCTAGGAAAGACCCAACCCATCCCCCACAGGCAGTCAAAATCAAAAATAGAGCAACCTGCCACCCATGGAAACAAACCAAAAGGTTGTTATCAGGTTATATACAGTATTCTTGTTATATTCTGTTTATGGAAATGTTTAAGCACAAAAACAGAAAAAAAATTTATTACTTGACTAAGCATGTAAGTAATAATGTACCTGGCGAATGTTGTGGGCGAGCATATCAGCAGATGAAGCTGAATTAGCTCCACCAACATTGTTAAACATATGGCCAGTCAAATATATAATCAAGGGTGCAACAGTGCCATCAACAACAGCTCCAATGAAGCCTGCAGCCATCAAACACATATCTACACTATCCGCATGCATGAAAATGGAGTGTATAGATCCATTTTTCTTCTTCTTCACAGGGTTTCCAACCTCTTTACTGTTCATTTTCTTATCTGCCATTTCGTTTCCTTTCTCCTCCTTCATTGGCTATATATCAGTTGATATAATTAGAAAGCAGCTGTGCACTCATATTCGCCGCCTGACAAATGATAGCTTAACGACCATGAGCCATGGATTTGGAATGATGCTGCAATAAGATGCATTTTCTTAACAAAATAAAATAATGTAGGTGCCAAGCAAAGATGATTGACTTCCATATTCTTTTTATAGATAGTAAAGTGTTGTCGTCATTCATAACGATGTAAAATGAAAAATTAATGTGGTTAATTTTATATGACAGTTAATTAGCAACTTGTGGCATTTTTTAGTTTAATTAGATGAAACTTTTAGATCACTTCGCCAGTGATTCAGATTAGTCATTAAAAACTGTTTTGATTGAAAACAGATTTAATTTAATTGGTTCATGCGGTTGAGGTAATAACCAGCAGATCTAGTGTTCAAATCTCAGTACTTGCAACCCTTCAACATTTTTTGTAAAATAAAAAAAAACTGTTTTCATGATATTTGGCACTTAATATTAACAAGAGTATATATATGTATGGTACATCTTAAGTCTAGAAAGAATGTCATGTCCAGTAGTTGGCAATTGAATCTTAATTCTTCTCTCTACATTTCAATATATAAGTTAATAATTGAAATAAAATTAAAAAAATCAAAAGACATAGTCATACTACATGAAATGGTATCTACCATTTCAGATTCCCAGCTGAAAATGAACAAATGCATAGGAAAAGCCAAAAGGAGGTAAATGATGAAGTAAGCCGCATTGATGGTCAAATACTTTTTGGCAAATATTACAAACCTTTCGTAAATGACAGAAGACCATTTCGGCCAAATGAGACAGAAACATGCAGAGGCTTGAAGGTTCAACTTTGAAAGGAATCAAAAGCCGTGAAAAAATAGATTGAATGATGCAGTCCTTGTCAAACTCCCTTCTTTCATAAATGAAAGAAGGCCAGTTCGGCCAAAAGATAAAGAAACATGTAGAAGCTTGAAGTTTCTGATTTGAAAGGAGCCGAAAGATGCAAAAAAATAAATTGAATGATGCAGTCGACTCCTTCATGTTAAATTCCCTAGCCAATTGTGTGTTTAATTTTTGGACTGATTTATGTTGGCACCTACGACCAATATGTCATCCACGTACAACAGCAGGATGATAAAATTATTTTCTTTAAATCTTTTGTAATGCGTACAATAGTCTGAATTAAGTCTGCTGTACCCAAGACTGATCACGAAGGAATCAAATCTCTTGTACCAATACCTTGGTGCCTGTTTTAGACCGTACAGAGTTTGTTCAAACTGCAAACCAAGTTCTCTTTGCGACAAAACCTTTTGATTGGAGCATATAAATTTTTCCTTCAAGTTCTCCGTAAAGAAATGCAGTCTTAACATCTAACTGCTCTAAGTGAAGATCAAATGTAGCACACATAGCTAAGCCTACTCTGATTGTTGTAAGTCATAACACTGGTGAAAATATTTCATTGAAGTCAATGCCTCTTTTTGAACATATGTTTTACCATCCTCTTCTTGAGCATATCCTTTTACCACCAATCTCGTACAATAACGCTCCACTTGGTCATTACCGTAACGCTAGTGGTAGCGGAACAAGATCCCACGTCTTGATTTTGTGTAAGCTTCAATCTCCTCTTGCATTGCTTTCATCCACAAAGATACATTCAAGCTTTTGGTAATCTCTTGGAAAGTTGATGGCTCTCCATCCTCTGTTAGAAGATAGTATGCAATATTACTCTCAATAATGTATTCTGAGTGCCAAGTTGGAGGTCTTCTCTCACGAGTACACAGATGGACATCAGAAACTTCAGTCTCCACTTGTTCTTGTGCTTCAAGCTCTGGTGTAGCTTCAGAATAGTCTGAATCTTCTCCATTTTGAATATCTCCTACTGCAATTGATGTAGTCTCTATTGGAGTACTTTCATTTTCCTTCACCTTATTTTCTGCAAATATTACGTCTTTACTGATGACAACTTTGCCAGTAGTGCGATCCCACAGAAATACCTTTAATTCCATCAGCATATCCCAAGAATAAATACTTTCTGGAATTTGGATCCAGTTTAATTATTTGCATGACAAACACAGGACTCCCAAATGTATGTAAGTGAGAATAGTCATGTGGTTTACCTTCCACATTTCCATTGGTGTTTTCAGATCAACTGCAGTTGATGGAGACTGATTGATCATATAACAGGCGATTTTGACTGTTTTAGCCAAAATGACTTGGCTAGTCTTGCAGCCCTTAACATTGCTGTAACTCTTTCCCATGGTGTTTTGTTCATCCGCTCTACCACTCCATTTTGTTGTGGTGTGAATGGCATTGTGAACTAACTTTTGATTCCTTCCTCTTGACAGAATTCATCAAATTCTTTGCTGGTATATTTCCCTCCATTATCAGTCCTCAAACATTTGATCTTCTTTTCAGATTCAAGCTTTATTCTTGTTTTAAAGCTTTAAAGACTAGAAACACATCTGCCTTACTGTTGATTGAATATACCTAACAGACTAGTTGTTCTTTAACAAAGCTAGGCATTTCACTATCAATTAGTTAATAGATAATGTGACGGGGTTCCTTTGGAAGCTGAGTAATGAGAAGTAAGCTCCTGCTGGTCCCTTTGCCAACAAAGATTGGTGAGTTCCTTTCTCTATTACTTTCCCTTTATTCAACACAGCTATTTAATCACAATCTTGTATGGTACTTAACCTATGTGCAACAACTACATTGGTCCTCCCCATCATTACAGGCTGTACTGCCTCTTCCACCATTTTCTCCGATTGACTGTCAAGTGCACTGGTTGCCTTATCTAATAGCAGCACTGCTGGATTTTTTAGGATGGCCCGGGCTATTGCAATCCGCTACTTTTGGCCCCCGGAAAGCTGCATTCCCCCATTTCCAAACCATGTATCGTAACCATCTGTTGGACTTGCTATGAAATCATGTGCGCTGGCTGCCTTGGCTGCTTCAATGATCTCTGATTCATCAATTTTATCAAATGCTCCATATACAATGTTTTCTCTTATGGTGCCAGAAAATAATATTAGCTCTTGGCTTACAAGAGCTATGTGTTTCCTTAATGGCCTCAGATGATATGACCTTATGTCTCGACCACCAATTTTCACTAAACCTTTGAGAGGATCATAAAATCACTCAATCAAGCTAATAACTGTTGATTTGCCTCTGCCACTTTGTCCCACCAATGCTGTTGATTTCCCAGCTTCAATGTTGATTGAGAGGTCCTTTAGAATGATCATATTAGGCCTTGCAGGATACGAAAAGTCAATGTCACAAATTTCAATATGTCCTGTAATATTTTCAGCAAAGAAACCATTGGAGTCTTCAGGTTGAATGTTTGTATAGAGGTCTAGAACTGCAAACAAAGATCCAATAATGTCAGAGCCCTCAGTCAGGTCTGTTGTTATGCTTCCGGCTTCAGCTATGATACTGCCAGTGCTTACTAAGATCAAGAATGCCTTGATAAGGGCTTGTGGAATGATGTTACCTTGGGAAATGAGTTTACCTCCATACCAAAAATCCAAGGCAAAAACGCAAGCTACAATGAACTGAGATGTGCCAAATCCAGGACCTGCAAGCCAAGATTGATGACTGTTCTCTCGACTTGGAACTTCATGGACCTTCTCGAGCATTTTCAGAATTCTATCTTGAGATGAGAAGGCGGTGATGGTATGGTGGTTAGACACTGCCTTAGCTGCAAGCTTGCTGCTTTCTTCCTAGGCTTTGATAGCTTTCTTGGACATGTTTTTGAGCAAGACCATTCGAGTGTACATGCAAAGGATGTTGAGGGGCTGGGAGGCTATCATGACAAATGCAAGCCTCCATGCAATGATCAGGCCCAAGGCACACGCTATGGTTGCAGCACAGAAGGTTTGCACAAGGAGAGACATTCGATCACCCACCAAAGATCTCACCTGCCAACATCAGAGGGCATTATACTTCCATTTCAGTAATATTCTTCCTTGAGGAAAGTACTCAAGTTATGTTTCATATAGAAGTAGAAAGATTATTAAGGAAACAAGTGGACAAGAATCTTACTACACTGGCATTGGCTAGTCTAGAGCAAATAGTACCGCTCGAATTTTCATCTTGATCAAACCAGCCAACTTCAAATGTCAGTATCTTTGAAAGCATCCTCCCTCTGATCTTCTTTGTCAAGTGCTTAACCATGTAAGCAAAATTGAAAAGCTGAATATCATTGATTATTAGCATAAAAACTGAGAACCCAAGGAATCTCAATGCATAAACCCTCGTCTTCTCTTTAATCTTATCATGATCTGTCAGAAAAAATACTGATATCATTGACCCTAGCGTGAAAGCATAAAGTGGTTGTACAGCACTAAATAAGATTGCACCTATGCATCCCAACATCGCTTGTTTCCAGTCTGGCAAATTCAATCTTAACATTCTTCTTAAGGATGGGACCAGTAACTGATGATTCTCAACATTGGTTTCTCCACCAAGAGAAGCTTGATTTGGTGCCACTAAATTGGCAGAACTTGGCTGGCCATCTAATGAAAGTCTACCAGTGCTAGAATTGTTTATGTACATGTCTGTTACATATAATAAAGCATTTGCGGATAAATCTTTATCAGCTTCTTCTGAGGGTTTTTCTTTTTCTCTTTGCTGAAGCTGGACTAATGAAGTATAGATACCATCTTTTGTTTTCTAGTAATGCATCATGTGAGCCAGTTTCCATGACCTGGCCATTTTGGACAACAGAATTAAATTTGAATGTCAAATGGTGGAGAGACCGTGGGCAATAATTATGGTGGTGCGACCAATGGGAGCCTTTTCGACAGCTACTTGGACAACAGTCCTTGATTCAGAGTCTAATGCGCTTGTTGCTTCATCAAGGAGAAGAATTTTGGGTGCTTTAATTATTGCCCGTGCTATGGCTATTCGCTGTTTCTGTCATGTTGAACACCTCTCTCGCCAACCTCTTTATACATAAAAGTTAAAGCTTCAGATTTTGTGTGGTGCTTACTCAACGCCAAAATATTCTGAAACAA